AGTTTAAGGGTGTCACTAACCAAGGTTCCCAGACAGTGGTTTGTTTTATGCACGTATTCTTCAATGGACGATGACTCAAAAGGAGTTTGAGCATTCAAGCTTCGTTATTCAAAATAAGCCGAACATCAAAGGTTTACGAAGGCAACTGAAACATGGAAGTTGATATATTCGGGAATTTATTTTGATCATCGACGACATTATCCTTTCTATAATAATATTGATATTCCTAAAATCTATTCTGCATCTAGTGGTGCAACAGGAGCCTGATCGTTAACTTGGATACCACCTCTCTTCTTCTCCTTCGAATCATGAAACGGTAATTTCCATCCTCCCTCACTCTCCGGCGTTGCCAACCATAACCTCATCAAATGTCTTCTTGGTGCTGGTGGTGCATGATCCTTGTATTCCGTACGAGCATGGAGTACATGCTCATTACTTAAGAATTGAATATCGCCAATCTCAAGTATCATATGTAATCTCAGTCGATGACAAGTTTCTTCCAAAACTTTAGCAGCTTCAACTTGTTCAGGTGATAATGGTGGGATGACTCCCGCGTCTGAGAATCGGCTCAAAGATTTCACGTAATATGGATCCCATTTCGAATACACGCGACCATTGGCGCCGGTTTCGAGATAGAAGACCGAGGTCTTGATGTATGGTTCTTCACCAATGCTAACTTCGCCCTTTCGATCAAAATACCAGATAGGTTTGGTAAGTGTTTCGGCCACATCAGGACGCTCTTTTTGTAAAGTGTTCCAGACGTGATGCGAAGAAACGATATCAGATTCTCCACCTTGGAGTGCTCGTGCGATGCAGAGAAGACCAACGATATCAGAGTCATCAGCGTGGAAGAATTGTCTGGCATTATTAGTCTTTTGATTATAGTCCAGGAATGAAATATGCACTTACCGAGCATTTGTTCTATAAATTCTAACTTTATCAATCTGAGTTGAATCTTCGCCAAGATCCTTGACATGCCCAAGAACATGGCCTCGACCATTTTGACTGACGAAATATCCAAGGTATGTACCCAATCCCATATATGCAACGGCGGATTTATGGTTTCCCCATTTTTCGACTGGAAATCCTTTGAAGAGGATAAATCCTTTCCCGTTTAAGATTTCCGTTCGAATGGATGCTAGTAAAGTAGAAAGCTTTGAGAGTCGGAAAGTATCCTATATTGAATTAGTCGGGAAATAAAAAATTTGTACTTGGGTAGCTAGCTATCACCCAGCATGGTCATGCGACACCAACAACGTACCTGAGAATACCCGTCAGAGGGATCTTATCCTGAATAAAATGATCCGCTACAGAGCTCAATTCAGCAATTTCTTCCTCGTTGAACACATGAACCCATCTTTCTGGGTTATTAATATAATCTTCTGCTTTCCAAACTGTTTCTCCGGTGATTTCTTTAGGGAATTCAGAGTATGGTCTCAATTGATCATATAAAGGTGGATGTTGACCTGAGGTTTTGATACCATCTGGGAAGACTTTACGATCGATGGATTTTGGGGATGGAGAGGAAAGTTGGTGGGGTGCTGTAGGTTGGGTATCAAGAAGTGAAGGTGCCATTTTTTACAATGTCTGAAATGTACAAAGGTCAAGGAATAATAAGTGAAGGTATTCAAAAGTATCGAAAATGGAGAAAATATCGAGTTGAAGGATAGAAAGCTAGACGAGCGGGGGATGATGTCTACTTATCATTATTTATTTTACCTCATATCTGAATACTCGAGAGTATGGCGTACTAGATTTGTCACTCAATCTTTCGACGCAATCACGGCAGGTTTAGGTTTGGTTGCATCCGTAGATCTACTCTGGGTGGTCAATTGCGTGATTCTTATATAGATATGGCGAATTCCCAGATTGCTGGGGTTGTTGGCCGACGGCGTCCGTACACTGTACAGGAAGGATGTGGGGCAACATTTCCCCTCTTTAAGGCTGAACTGAATTATGGACAGGGGGAGCTTGCCATATATATTTCTGATCTCAGAATTAGACATTTGATAAGAAAATATTTTCTGTTATATTACGATATGAAATTTAAGTGTATATCTACTAGTAGTATTTCACTCGAAATATACTTCTACGGAAAATGAATGTTGCTATCTAGCTGTCGAACACGCTGTTGGTCAAGAAGTTTATTCGTGGCGACATGCATTGATGTTTGCATGTCTCTCATACTTTTATATACAGCCCCCTCTTCTGTTGCAATCCAGAAAGAACCTTCCTTGCATTGGTAACTCGCGGTTGGAAATGGTCACCTCCGAAGACATAGTCGAGGCAAGACCGGATTTGATCTGCCTCCTTTCCTTAGGAATGAACATGTAAGATCTTACCTTCCCATCAGAAGAAATACTGTATGATTTCGTTGAAACGCCCCTTCATACCCTTCCTGAATCCCAGTTGAATCTCTGGTATTGTCTTCAGAGTATTCTACTTTCCATAGACTGAAGCCCGGATGTTATCATACATAATGTTTTCTACAGACGATCGAGCCGACGATGAGAGAGCTAACCCTCTCCTTGATCTCGGTAAGCTTGGGTTGACTCGCCTAATCGAGTGCAGATGTAAGAAGAAACAATCTCTCTGCAGCGAAATCTAGGCAGCTACCACATAGTTGCGAATTGTTACACTTGAGCTTTCGTCGGTCGACATTCAAAAACCGATTTCATCATACAATCCTTCTTCGGATGCGTGGCGCTGGCACTCCTGATGTAAGATTATCTGCAATATTTGAAGTCGTCGGCTGCTGGTGGCACGGAGCCTTGACCAGGGGAATGTGAGAGAATAAATGGATGTGTATGAGCCATTGAATTGGGGCTCTGCTTTTGCTGATTAGATCAGATAGATCAAGCTGAGAATGTTCGTGCTTGGTTTGCTGAAGTGATTCATGATTTCGGAGTCGTGACTCGGATATCTATCTACCTAGGCTCGGACCACTAAATAAATGTTCGCTGTGTTTTACCTCTACTTCAAACCAACCGGCAGTCGAGTGGTTGTGTCCACGCTCTAAACTCTTCTTGGAGGATAAATTCGACTTTGGCGTACGTTGGAAGATTCGGGGTATGGAAGCGCTAGCAGATAGCGGTTACGCTCTATATTTGACCCATCTACTTAAATGGCAGAAGCACATTGTCACCTTAAATTTCATTGGTGGTATCCATAAAAATCAAAAGTCGGGCTGAAAGGATGTAGCTTTTCCTTCCATCATATATCTCATTAGAAACGTGAACGCATTTTCCTCAGCTACATGATATTTCTGATGCGCCTTGCCTTGAATTCGGTCTTTTGATACAAGTAAAAATCTCATCTTAGACACTCTTCAATCCTCAAGCATCTATATCCATTTTCTCCCCTAGCGCAGCCTCACCTTCAATCTCATGTACCGTGACATACTTGCTAATCTCCTCCCTTGTAATGATCTTCTCGTTGAGAACAGCCGTAGTTCCTCTAGGGAAGACATAACTCTTTTGCTTCTTACTTCTCTCATTCGGCTTAACGAATCCTCTCTTCAATGTTGTCTTATCTTTTGTGATGATTGCCACATCTACATTCGAACCTGAACCCAAATCGTTAAAGATACCAGCTTGAATAGCATTTGATGCCAACTCAACAGCTTCATCCTCTGTCATCTTAGATTTCCATTGTGTCTCAAACACAGACATCGCAGCTAGCGAACCACTTCCCATAGTAACATATGGTAGCTTGTCCGTACTTCCGTGCGCATGTACCGTAAACAATCCAACACCGGTGGGGTCAACACCTGCCACTACAAGATATGCTCCAATATGTCCCTGGTATCTGAACAAGTGTTGTTTAAGCATGGTCATGCAGGTAACGACTCGAGGTTTGCGACCTGTCGATAACGAGTGGAGCTCGAGTTGTGAAGAGATGAGGGCGGTTGTGAATTCGGTATCAGCTGCTGTACCTGCACCGGCACACCAGATCTGAGGAGCAATGTAATGAAGTTTCTCGCAATTCTAATAGCAATGAGTATTGCATCAACGTCAAAGTATTACACTGATCGTACCTTATCTGCTACTATGGGTCCGCTGGTAGCTCTGGTATCTGCTGCGATCTGGACAAGGGTTTGATTAGCATGATAGTTCACATCGAAGCCCGAAACGAAATAGAGGGACTGTTTAAATTGCTTTGAGGTCGCAGAATGGTAATGTAACTTACAACTACACCTCCTTCAAAGATACATCCTACAATCGTAGTTCCTGTGCTTGTAGCTTTTGGTAATGGGACACCTCTGGCGTGTAACGCAGCATTGCGAGTATGGTTGGAGAAGTCGAAACCAGGCATTGTCTCAAACACGGCTCGGTGAGCGGATTTCTAGGTAAAATTTGGGTATCAAATAAATATAATCAAAGTAGTAATTCGTGGGGAGTGGGAGGGATTCGTAAATGTGTTGAAATGGTTGTTTTGCTGAGCTCCAAACGGGGACGGTTGATGATCCCAGGTTACTGTCGCTGACGAGGATCTTGGGCGCCTGGAAGCTTAAGCTTGTGCTTTCGCGATTTAACACGTGATCTACAAAAACGCGAGCGCAGAGCGAATGAAGGTCTGATATTATTTTGAAGTGGAAAGCAGTAAACCATTTGCCTTTTAATTCATCTCTTTTATCACCACAAAATTTTCAAACCTTAGATATTCAATACAGCTCCGCGAATCAACTTCTCATTGTCCCTATTTATCTGGATTAATTAAATCTACCTCCCACTTTCCTTTCCAGAACTATTCGCTATTCTCACTCCATGCGCCGAGCTCTGTAATGAACTGCCAGTCTACTTAGAATTTTGGGGCATCTTTGGAGATCATGGCATTCAGCTTTGGTAACCCGGGAAGTGGTAGCCTTGGTGGTGGTTCCGCTGGAGGTGCGACAGGTCTCAGTGCGCAATTGGGTCCTGAGCTCGAAGATATACAAACGACGGTATATACATTATTCCGCCATATGGGCATGACCATTGCGGTAGCTAATAAGATTTAGGCCCTTCACTTTCACGCTTTTGCAGGCGAATCTAAGTTGCAATTACTTCCTTCAGCATGGCCGACCGACAACCTTCCTCCTCCAACATCTTCGTTATTGAGCATATCGTCACGTCGCGGATTGCTCGCAGCCGCCGGTCCAGATGCTATAGTTGTCGCAAGAACTGCGTCTGTAGAAAAAGCATTTGAAGGGTCCGGTACTGGAAATTTTAAATCTTTTCAGCCGGAACTTAGAATTCCCATGCCTATGAGGGTATCGCAGCTTGCCTTTTCAGCGGACGATGCATATTTGGTTCTATCTGCGGAATCAGGTGGTGGACTTGCAGTTTACGAAGTTGAGGCCTTACTCAAAGGATCTACACAAACAGCCTTCGAGATACCTTCAAATGGCGAGTCTTTGAGGGCTCTCGTGCCAAATCCTACCAGGGATAAAGGCGAGCTTCTTGCAGTTGTGACTGTGGATGGAAACCTTATGATGGCAAATCTTAAAGACCGCGCTTTCAAGTCAGGCCCCAATGGCCAAGTTCTCAGAAGTGGTGTCAGCTGTGTATCGTGGTCTACTAAAGGGAAACAATTAGTTGCTGGCCTCGGCGATGGTACTGCTGTTCAGATGACGCCAGAAGGGGAAATCAAAGCAGAAATTCCAAAGCCGCCTGGGTTAAATGACGGAGATCATGGTAAGTCTTTCTTGAATTCTCAGATCACAGAAAATAACTAACAGGCCCAAGTATCGTCCATCACTTGGCTCGAAAATAACGTATTTTTGTTGGTGCATACACCATCGAATTTCGACCCTAGCAATGCTCCTGAATCCAAATTTCATCTGGCTACGAGGCAACAGCCTGCGACTTTTATGTTTCAGAAACTTACTGATCCTACTCCACCCTTTGGTCTCAATCGTTCACCACCGCATCATTTTTTGCTTCGCTTGAAAGATTTCCCACCAAATATACAGGATTTACTTATCGTAGGCTCGACAGCATCCACAGATATCAATCTCTTTACCAGATCCAGTGTACCATTGACGACTGATAAGCCATCGGACAGAATAACAGGGCTATTCACGATGACAGAAATGGCTGATGACTCTTTTAGAGCTCAGCTTCCTGCAACATCGAGCGGGGGTTTTGGGGACACATCTCCGATAGGTTTTGCGCTTGATCTATCAAGCAACACTAGGATCTGGAAACCCATACCCGGGGATGACGAGATTGATGAGTCGCCTCACCCTGCCCCTGCTCTTATGGTTTTGAACAATGAAGGTGTCTTGGCTTCATGGTGGATCATTTATAACGACTCGGTTCGACAGAAAACCATATACCCAGGTCTAGTTGCCGCCAAGGGAGCGACGCCTGAGCAGCAGCCTAGCACTGTTACACCTGCTTTTGGCAGTACGTCAAGTCAACCATTTGGGGGTCAAGCTTCTACAACTTCGGCCTTTGGTGGTGCAATGGCGAAACCAGCGGCCGCTTCTGGGACAGGTGCTTTTGGGACGCCCGCTGCTATCGGTAAGACACAGTCGCCATGGGGTGCCCCAGGTGCTCAAGCATTTGGAACCCAAAGTTTTGGTACACCTTCAATGGCACCGCCTGCAGCGCAGCCAGGTCCAGCTTTTGGCGCGCCAGCTTTCGGTACACCATCAGCTCCAGCTTTTGGGCAATCAGGCTTGCCAGGGCGGCAATCAGTATGGGGCTCAGCAAACACCACCACGGCAAGTACGGGTACAGCTTTTGGTCAGTCCAGCGCTTTAGGTGCATCTCAACCTGTTTTTGGCTCAAGTGCTTCTACTGGAACTAAGCCTCCGACTTCTGGAGGATTTGCCACTTTTGCAAATCAAGGCGGCTTCGCAGCTGCAGCTGCCCCGGCAACAGGGGGAAGCATATTCGGTTCCAAACCTGCCGCACCCCCGGTTACAGGCGGTGGTATATTTGGTTCCAACAATAATGCCTCGAATGCAAGTGGCGGCATTTTCGGTTCTAACAACACTAGCAATGTTGCACAATCTAGTAGTCTCTTTGGAGGAGCCAATAAAGCCCAGCAACAGCCTTCTTCAAGTCCTTTTGGGGCAGATAAATTTGTCATTGGTTCCACATTTAAGGCGGATACTTCTAAGGAGAGCGAGCCAGATAATACGACTGCAACAAATGGTTCGTTCTTTGGAGGTGGAGCCTTTGGTAACGCTTTGAAGGAAGCAGAGGATGTCCCTGCTGTACAGGCACCAGTGTCCGAGGAAGCAGACATGGATGCTCCAGAGCCAGAGGAACAGGCGAAGCCTCAATCTGCGACTCCTAGTTCAACTCCCGCGCCGGCTAGGTCATCATTCTTCAATACAGCAGCACCTGCTAGTGGCGGTGGACTTTTTGGGTCCGCCTCTGGCTCCACAAAATCAAACCCCTTCGGAAGCGCTGAAGCAAAGTTAGCTCCAAACCCTTTTGCGGCCTCGGCTAAACCAGCAGCAAATCCATTTGATGCATCTATACCTGCTAAAACAGCCCCAGCTCCTTCTCCGCCACTGGATATCAAGCAGGAACCAAACGATGGAGTGCCTGAGGCTCCTCTGCCTCCAGATCCAACAAGTAAATCTAGCTATGCTGCTGGCGAAACGTCCGCCTCTGAAAACGATGCGCCATTGCCTCCGGACTTCATACCTAAACCTAAGCCGCCTACCAAAGAAGTTCCTGGCCCTGGAAAAGATAATGATGCACCCTTACCACCAGATTTCGTGCTGAAGCCTAAGCCCACTCAAACCCAAATACCACCCCCTATTAAAAAAGATGCTCAAACGCAGGATCAACCTCCCCCACATGAATTTCCCAAAGATGTTATTCCAGGGGGTCCGGATGATGAAGGCGATGATTCTGACTTCCTTACAGAAGATGAAGATGATGAGCAAAGCAAAGAACCGAGTGAAGAGGGAAGTGGGGAAGATCTCGGAAAGCTGGATAGCCCGACATCTGAAAATAATGTCACACCCGGTTTAACGCCTCAAAGTTCATTTGGCGGGAATCAGAAAACCAAAGCAGACATCAGCCCTTTTGCAAAAGTACAAAAGCCATCCACGTTTGGACAATCGAAGGGACTTTTCGGGGAAATTGGTACCGCACCCAAATTTCCACCACCAACAGGCCCCGTAAATCCTTCATCACCTCGATCACCCAGCCCTATAAGATCAGCAGTTCCGCCTAGAATGATGCGTCCCGATCCGTCCCGATCTGTTAGTGCACCGGGATTCGCATCACAGTTATTAAATGCTCACAAGTCATCGGGAAGAACTGCACCTGCGCAAAGCTCTTTTGTGACATCTGTTGAACAAGAAAAGGCACGAGAACAGCGCCGTATTGAGGCTAAAGCAAGGAAAGAAGCCGAAGAGACCAGAACGCTCGTCGATGATGAAGATGATAGGATGCAGAGATATCTCACTGAAGATATTGAAGCCACAAGGACGCTGGATGAATTCGTCGCTTATTCAGATGTAAAGTCACCTGAAACAGGCGACAACATTCCTGCTCAGGTAGAGATTTTATACCGTGATATAAACTCCATGATCGATACCCTCGGTGTAAATGCAAAGGCTCTAAAGTCATTCATCAAGGGGCACACCGAGCAGCACAAAGATAGAACCAGAAAAGACCTCGAAGAAGATGAGACCTGGTGTCTGGATGAGATAGAGGCACTTTCATATATCGTAGAAAGGGAGCTAACACGCGAACTCGAAACGGGTAGAATTCAGGACGTGGACGAAAAAATCGAAACTTGCGAAAATCTTGAGAAGGAGACTATCAAGCTACGACAAAGATTCGAAGAAGTAAAAAGGACTGTCCAGTCACACACACATCCTGATCAAATAGCGATCGCCAGAGCACAACCACTCAACGTCGAGCAAGCTGCACAGCAACATGATCTCCGCCGCGATTATTTGAAGTTTCAGAAACTACTCTCAGAGGCTGAAGAAGGTCTCACTGTTCTCAGGGCTAGGATTGTATCTCAAAATTCCAATAGCAATACAAAAAGCGCCGCCCCCACAGTCGAAGCTATTATGCGTACAATCACCAAGATGACGTCCATGGCGGAAAAACGTAGCGGCGATGTCGATGTTCTTGAAAACAGCATGCGCAAATTGAGATTCAACACCACAAGTCGAGAATCCTCGCCAGCTCTCAGAACGCCCCAGAAAAATATGAATAGAATAAGTATAAGGGGAAATACACCAGGGACTTCAAGCACAAATAGAGTTTTCTATACACCTGATCAATTTAAAGGATCGGCGTCAAGGAGATTAGGAAACTCGTCTTTTGGGATGAGTAATTCGGGCTCGATTTACACAACACCTAGTCCGAGAAAAAAGATTAGTGGATATAGTTTAGAGGAGAAATCGGATTTGAGCGAGGTGGCTAGGAGGAAGAGGGAAGCGAGAGATAAATTGAGGATGGCCGTCAATAGAGCCGGGATTAGGGTTAGAGCTTTTCAGGATGATGATTGAGAAGAAAAAGGAATGTGAATGACAACATGCATTTATATGTGTGGGCTCTTTCGGGAAATATTTTAAAAGGCGTTACTGTGTTTACTTTGAGGACACCGGAGGGTCCCGGTCCTGGTGTAGGGGTACTTTAGTCATTCATGAATAAATGGATGGGAGGATGGATATGAGGGAGAAAGAAGAAACATGAAATATGGACATAAGCATGGGAATTTGTTAGATGATGGATGTTTGTAACAATACCAATACTTATACCAGTACGTACTTAGTAGTTAGTTAGTAGCCTGTTTCAATGGATATATTTGAACGAGGCTCAATTGCTCGGCACAAGACTTCAATTATGTGTGCTGTACTTGTGTACTTACTAGTGAGAGTAAAAATTGCCTCGGGACTTTAACTACTAACCTTGGATTCCTCTTCATTCGCTAGCTACACAGTACCTCGGAAAAAATGTAGTACGTTATGAGTATGAGTATGGAAGCATTCGATCAAAGCAAACGGACCCCCTCAGCAAGTCAGATGAGCTAGTTGTTCCCCTGTAGCTCGAGCAAAAGAAGTCTAGTCTGCAATGCGCGAATTTCCATCCTCGCGTGCATCACCCTGTTCAGCAATCGATCTTCCTCGGCATCCAAGTTGTGTCCTCCCTCTATCACCAACTTCTTCATCTGAACACACGACCTCCTCAATGTAAAAGTTATCATCATTATACTATTTGCTATCCCAAGAATTTCAAAGTACCTGTCTGCCCCGATGAATAGCTTCTGACGCTTAAGCTCTGCGTGCATCGTGGGAGACGCATTGTTTGACCTGTCATAAATGCAAGCTAATCGCGACTTCGCTCCCTCGAGCTGCTCTTGTATTTCCATTAACAAAGTATCATCAAGTAATGCCGGATAGTTCGTGATTGACTGCAAGATCGATACATAAAATATTATGATTTCGTCGGTTGTTCTGCAAGTGCCGGGAGGAGTTCGCCTCGTGTCCCAGCTGTAATAGGCTGTACCACCGCCAGGCCTGGGGTTTGCGTTTCCATGTTCGTACGCTGGACCTTTGCGCATGTTGTAAGAAGGCTTATTATTCTGTGGTTCAGACATGATCTGGAACTGGTGTTAGTTACTATGAATTAACATTTGGGTGGGAGATAAAAGAATGTAAACTCGGATAAGGCATTTATCTTTGCTGGTTAAGACGTACCTTGATGTCTTTAGAGGACGGTATGTTTGTGTATTGCTGATTAATTTTTCAGATGATCTCTTGTGACTTGTTTGTGAGTGAGGTTGGTAGGTGTCTGAAAAAGGGTGGTAAATAATGACTTTGAGAAATCCTGGCTTTATATACCCCTTTTGTATTTCGCACGAAAGCTAGAACAAGCATGATTAAACATACAAATAATGATTCCAATTTAACCAAGATGGTTCTTTTCTTTTCTATACTTCTTAGAAGCTACCAGGGCTTCGAAAGTACTAAGTAGCATATGATTCAAATTGATACAAATACTTCAAATATTAACATTATCAACAAAGAACAGCATCCACTTCAAGTGTAAATATTCCAAGCCAAGCACAGCTTCAATCGTTTCATACCAGACAGTTCCACAAACAGCCATGTCTTCCGAAACAGATCATCTCTCTCACTTCTACGAATCAGAAAGAAATCTCGTAGAAAAAATAATCAATATCATATTGGAATGCAACAAACTTCGCGACACGGTCAAAGCTAGATATTTGTCATTGCAAGCCTCGGAAGCGCAAATATTACAGCTTGAGGAAGAGAAGACTGTGCTCGAGAAGAGTGCTAAGAAGTTGGCGAAATATGAAGAGCGTCCTAAAGATTCAGGATTAGAAGGGGTGGAGGAAGTGATTAATGGGATGGAATTTATGAAGAACGCTTTGGATGCTCATAGAGATGGGGCAGATGGGGCGGAGAAAGCGTTGAAAATTACTTTGGGTTCTCAAAGGAATAGGGTGGATGCTGCGGAGAGAGAATCGAGCAGAGATTGTGCCACTCATAGCATAGCAGTGATTGATCAATTAATGTAAAGTGAGACAAAGGTTGATAGAAGTTGTGGGTGGAGATTGTGGAATGGTTGTCATATCAGGTTTTGCACGAGACTCTCTGAACTCTACATCTGTGGAAGCGAGACACTTCAGCTTGCCCGAACCAGGAGGATTGAGAGTGCTAAATAGTATCGAATCGTACTTCCTGGTCAACCACGTCTATTTGATTGCTTTCAGTGTAGTCTTTGCTTTCATTGCAGTCTTTGCTTTCATTGCAGTCTTTGCTTTCATTGCAGTATTTCATTGCAATATTTCTTGTAGACACCATATGAATTGTTGCTGAATGTATCAAGCAAAGGTCTTGACCTGTGACGATAACCTCGCTCCTGTCCTCGCTGCTGGAAAAAGGTCATGGGGTGCTCTGTCACGATTTCTTAACTATCTTCAGTTTCGATATGCACCATAGTGTGTATCATAGTTCGTCAAGGTATGTAATGACAAAGTTAGAAGACCGACTCCGAGGGTTATAAAAGAGCTAGTAATAATAATTGATGCCGTAGAACGACATACGTATACCGCGAAATGCCCAGCGCGATAACATAGTTTGTACGAAGTTGCACCTTATTATAAGGGTAATGCCAAAGAAATGAAGCCACGACCCTAAGGCAACTTATTTCCAATCCTCCCAAACCTGTGCCTATTCACCGCCATCGTCGCTTATTATATACATCTAAACAAGCTCAGGCCATCCATTTCAGCCGAGTGCATGAGGAGCAAAGTGGCAGGTGGTGCAGTGATTCAATTCCACTCTTTGATTGATTTAACATCATGCACATCTCCATACAGCAGGTTGGTAATTATTGCCTGTGATGGTTGGACACACTCTTTCTAGTTCACGAAGGAGGGAAGGGCATTGTGGTTAAACTCCACTTGCAGCTGTTAACAGCTGTATTAAATGTTTTGATATTTTTGATATTGGACTTTTTTTCTTTGATGGTGGAGAAGAAGATGAGTTGATTTTTGAAGGCTGAGGAGATGGATTGAGGTTGTGTGATTGGGTATGAGTGTAGTTGTCGTCGTCTCGCTTGATGTTGTTAGCTCGCTTCGCGGGTTTGTCGCGCTTGATGTTTTTGCCGTTTTTATACTTCATCACTGTGCCGTGGATGCAATTCCTTTAATTATTATTTGAATGGTATGATATTACTGAAGATATTTTAGAGACCTTTGGAGAGCTTGTTTGGTCGCTAAGTGTTCATCAGCGGTCTGAAGCGAGTGCGAAAAAAAATCAATCTTCTTACACAGTGTCATATATTCTACGACGGCGTCGATGGATGAGTGAGTAGGCTAAGTACAATGATTTGCTTATTCTTGATATATCTATGTGCAGACGCCTTATGTTAACCAAGTGGCTTCACTTAGTAACTATTCATCTTCATCTCGACCTCCTCGCTTAGTGTCACAGCATGTAACACTTAGCCAAATCGTCTTTTTTTTAGGCAAAATCCGGCGAAGGCCTCGAGGTTTTTCTCGGCTTCTACTATGGAGTTGTTGAAAATAAAGTTTAGGATGCTGAAGTAGACTGGGAAATGAGATGTCTACCTGCTCAGACCTACATATAGTTGTCTTTCTACTACTCAATTATGCATACAGGATGTTCTATTCTCACATTTCCGTATCCCCATGATCACTCCAAACACCTATCTCCAATTCTTCCATTCCATCAATTCCACCCAATCCATCTTCATACAGAACCTCCTCATCCTCCTCTTCCGGCACAAACCAAAAATCACAATCCTCATAATAATCCGGATTTCCATTTTCCCAAGCTTGTCTCTTGAGTATACTCCTCAACTCCTCTTCCTTTATCCGTAACGGTACTGCACAAGTATCCAGATCTTTCTCATAACTCTCATGCACAAGGATCGACTTTTTCAACACAACTACTTTCCTCATCCTCTCTTTTCCATCCCTTCCTTCTCCTCCTCCCACTCTCAGCCTCGTTGATGCGAGTTCAAGATCTTTAGTGATTTTCTTTTTGCCATCCGTAGTTTTTTCCTTGGCGCTTTGCGTGTATCGAAGCATATTGCGAATGTGCTGGTAGTTTATTTCTTTGGGTGTGAGTGGACCGATGAAGACTTTAGGTGGGGATGAAGTGTTGGCGAATGGAAAGTTGGGGTTTGGTTGGATGTCACTAAGTGATGGATACCAGTTTGGTGTGATATGGAACGTCATTTCGGGAGACTGAGTGAGCTGAGCATAGAATAAGTGCAAGACTCTGACGGGAGAGTGGAGTGGAAGGGGTGTAAAGAGTCATATTATGTGTTGATAAAATTAAAGAACAATTGAGAATGTTGAAGGACTTTCAGGTTTCATTTCGGAATTATCTATCTGACTATGGTGAAGGAAAAGAATAGTTGCATATTCATTCTACGAGGAGTTACCAGAAGAAGGGAAATAGATCCTTTCATCTATAACTCAGAAGATCTAGAAAGAAGCCAAATCAAATTTCTCATTCTAATCAATCTTCTAATCTGGAGATTGATTTTCGCTTAAAAATAATTTGGAAGCTCAAACTCAAAGCATTTATTTGTTCAAACTCAAAGTCTCTATTTGCTCAAGTGAAAGTCAAAATAGACCAATAGAAGTACTTCCTCCTAATAGAAATTGAGATCTATATCTCACCAAATAAGCTATCCTCAAGATATTTAGCACTCGTTCTCAATACTCGGAGGAAAAAAGTCAATCTCAATCTCATCCTCATCATCCCCCATTCCTTCTTCCATCCCTCTTAGCCTTCTCCTCTCCTCCTCCAACCTCTCTTCTTCCTTCAACTTCTCTGCCTCAATAAACTCGTTTGGTTGCTCCGACGTTAACACCTCTTCCTGGATCTCCCTTATCCTTTCCATCTCCAATCTCTGATCCATTTCCCTCTTCTTGACCATTTTCTCATATATCCACTCTGCATCACTCACTATATCTGCATACCCACTGGCCTCCTCACCCTCTTCAGATCTAAGCCGGCGCGAGCGGGGGTTGTCGTGATCAAAAACAGTGTACTTCTCCCCAGCCTTCCCTTTCATCACCCTCACCCGATAATCTTCATTCTTCAACCCAGAGAGTGGATTCTCCTCCCTTTCTTTCTTCTCCTCTGCGATTTTCGCCTGGAACTTACACACCGTCGACACAGAAAACTTATGGAAACCCTGCCACCCGTCAAACTTCTCCTTATCATCTAGAAGCCTGTGCATAGCTTCCACAGCATGTATCCTTTGCAATCTCTCCACAGCGAATTCTAACCCGATTTCTCGACCCAACATTTTACCCTCTGCTTTCTCAGTCTTCAAAGCTAATTTGCATTGAGATAAGGCATTGTCCACTTGTTTAAATGCCCTTTCTAGATTTCTATTCTCTTCAAGTAGTTTTCGGTCCTCTTCTTGTAAACTCGAAATTGTGTCATGTGGAGGAATGATTGGACCTTTCTCACTATGCTCTCTTTCACTGCTGTCCCTCTCACGACGAAGATCTCTCTGACGATTTTCCCTCTCAAGATTTTCTCTCCGACGACGTTCTCTCTGGATTCGTCCCATATTAGAATACCCGGCAGCGGAGTGAGATCTGGTTTTGGAGGTGGATGGCTGTTATACAGTACTCGCAATCTCTGCTGATCTATGAATAAAAAAGTCAGCTTCTTCATTCAGTCTACGCACTTTTCCAATAACCGGAACATCAAACCTATTTCGACCTCCACGTCCCTCGTCAACCATAAATTCGTCCTCCTAAGCACGTCAGCTTTCGCAATAGGACCACGGAGAAGGATGAAAAAGTGTTAACGATGGCTACATACTTCGAAAAATCCTTCACTGTCCAAATCCGGCACGTCTTCATCTTCAGAATGATCCATCATATCATCAGTATTCAGATGGTTTGACGGAATTATGGTGTGAGATCTGGAAAGTTGATGAATTATACAAGAATACATATGGGCTTCTAACAGGTATATATAGACAGTTATACATCTTTGACAGAAAGGAAAAGACCAGACATTGAAAGTCTTTTGAAGAACATTTTACCAGTAAGTAGAAGAGTCTGGCTCATCATGTGTTCCTTTTGTAAAATTCTTTATGGGCATGAATGAATAGGATCTAGCTTTGACGAATAGCATGAATAACGCATTAGAAAGAAGGTCTATCAACAGAAAAATACGTGCAGCTGCAACAAAAAGAGAATATTAGGTCAACAAAAAGAGAATAAGTGAAAACAACATGCACATACCATTTAATTTCATTTGAAATGTCCTTCGAATCTTCTTCGAATGCCAAAAGTCTAATCTCAGTAACCAGCTTGGTAACCCAATCAAGCCAAAAATGACGTGCCAAAACCACCCCATAATCGCAGGATATGGGTCCGGCATGAAAAACCATATCCAATTGTCCCAAATCATTCAATTTTTGGGATGTTTAACTTCCCCTCCTGTATCCTTTTTTGACATATCCAGCGGAGAACCCATATCCATATCCATATCCTCTGCCTCCGCACCATCAATGGCCAAAGTAGGGTCAGGCGAAATATCATCTGAATCAACCACAGGCTCAACTTGCCTCTCTAGACCCCGTGAGATCTTATCCCCCATACGCACAACCTTATCTTTTGCCCTTTCAATCAGACTTCCCCTTTCCTTTATGATCCTTTTATTTTCCTCTTCCACTGCCTTTTCGATGCTCTTGATCATCGCTTCTATCCACGGTCTCTTACCCACCGCCGCCTCACACGCTTGATCGATTGCCTCACCCCAGTCTCTACCAAACCTCCAAACAAGGTTCCCCTCCCCCTCCCCCTCACTCTTCCTTTTCCCTCCTCCGCGCTCCCTATCCGCCCTATCCGCCCTATCCATTAACTTTTTACCCCACTTTTTCCATTCCTCCAGCGTAGCTTCCTTGATCAAAAGCTTCCGCACATTCTCCATGTCTAATCTTTCCTTGATTTTCGAGATAAAAACGTCCACAGCGAGTTTCGCTTCCACAAGATCAAAAGATTCTAACTCTAAATCGACATTCTCGAGCAACTCCGCAGCCGTCTTTTCATGCCAATCCACACAACGTTCCGCCTCCTGCAATTCCATTCTTAAATCCCCTTCTTCGACATCGGATTGCCCTAAGGACTTTTTGGGGGGTTGCACTCTCCCAGGTCCGTGATTTCCCTTAATTCGCTCTAATTTCTCAAGTAACCGACGACGCCTGTGCTCACGATACTGTCTTTGTATCCGTCTTAGATTACTATAGGAAGGTCTGGTACTGGATGGCTGTTTGGTAATGGGCAGGTGTTGCAATGTTAATGGTTGCTGAAGGGTGGGTGACTGCTCCACGATAACTTCAGGTACAGCTGGTTTAAAAACAAGAGGTTTAGTGTGTGTGACTAGGGGTTCGAGTTGTAGAGGATTGTTATCTATCCTAGGGATACCAGCTCCAGCCGGCCTATGAACAAGCGGCTCAGCATGAGCGACGCAAACAGATCTTTGTGAGGCATTTTCGACCGGTAAGACTTCAGATCCGTTGAATGGTATAATCTGGTCGCATTTCATGAGTTCATCCTTTTGATCAACCATCATGACATTGATGATTTTGATTGATCCAACGATATTCCCAAGCACATTTCTAGTTCTTCCAAACCGAAAATGTAAATTTATAATCCAGCCAGAAGACGAAATATCCAGAAATCACCAGACATGAAAAGCGAAGAACAAATATCAAGAATCTTCCAAAGGGAAACCGTCACTGGAATCTTCCATCAACAACATGGAAGTACTAGATAATCTTCCATGATGAGTTTCCGTGCATGTTCCGTGTATGATTTAAGATTCTAATGATGATGAGATCATAAATAAACTATGTTTATGTAAACAGCATATAAATAATAATAAAAAAAGAAAAATTTATAACGTAACTTATGGTGAACCGGGTCATATGGGGAACCGGGTCACATTTAGCCCATCACTGACTTCAAACCCCAACAAATTTTGCTATGCATACCGAATCACCTCTTACACCTTCTCAAATTGAAGAGAAGATACAGAATGCTATTATTGCACTTCAATTGAAGGACTTTAAATCAATTAGAAAGGCTGCAGAGTATTTTGAAGTTCCTAAGTCAACTCTCATAGCTAGAGTCGCTGGAAGGAAATCACATACTCAATCCCACGAAATAGCTCAAATTCTTTCAAACGCAGAAGAAAATACTCTTGTACGATGGATTTCACAATTTACTATCATTGGATTCCCTGTTACACCTATATTGGTGAAGGAAATGGCCGACGAAATTCGTCTTCGATACATTCAGGTCGCGTCATCTCGAATTCCTACCTCGACAGAAATTCCATCTATAGGCCACGAATGGATCTATAGATTCCAAAAACGATATCCAGAACTTAAAACATATTATTCATATCAATTAAAGTCTAATCAAGCTAAAAAAGCAACTCTAGAAAATATTCAGATTTGGTTTGATATGTTTCATATGTATTTTATTGAACGAAAATATGAATTAGATGATATGTATAATATGGACGAAACCGGATTTGAAGTTGGAAGTACTCAAAGTATATGTATTATAATCGATTCTACTCAGAAATCGAATTGGAAAGTTACAGCTGGCAAGCAAGAATGGATAACTGTATTTGAATATATCAATACAATTGAAAAGGCTTTATCACCTATAATCATTTTCAAGGCTCAGAATACGAATTCTGTATGGATTCCAAAGGACACGTCTCAAAGCTGGCAGTTTTCTACAAGTACGAATGGATAGACCTCAAATAGTCATAGATTAGAATAGCTAAAAAGGGTTTTCGAACCAGAATTTAAGAAAGTGTCAGATGACTGACCTCGACTTTTGATTATGGATGGCCATTCAAATCATATTACAGGCAGCTTTATTGCTTTCTATATAGAGAAGGAAATCGATTTACTTATATTACCTCCTCATTGCTCCCATTTGCTTCAACCACTTGATATTGTAGTGTATGGGCCAATAAAACAATATTATGCTTTAGAGGTCGATCGATATTCTCGAATTGATGTAAAGCGAATTCAAAGAGCTGAATGGATAGAACTCTTTCAAAATATTAGAAAAAAAGCATTGAATTCTTCTAATATTAAAGCTGATTGAAGAGGAGTTGGTTTAGTACCTTTTGCCCTACGAAAAGTACTTGATTCATTACCATTTAACTCCTCCCAGCAATCTTCTACTCCACAAATGAGAATGTCCAATCAAGATCTAGACTTATCTATACTCAGGAGTTCTCCTCCAGATGGGACAGAGCTAAGGCAAGCAAATCAAACCTTTAATAAAGCTCTAGCAAATAATGATTCTCTTGTATCATCAACTCGTCGATATACCAAGAGAATAACTAAGCTTGTAGAATCTCAAAATGCTGAGATAGCCCTACTTCGGAAACAGCTCGCTGATGCTCAGGAAGTAATTGAGACTCGAAAGAAGAGAACTAAAGGCAAAAGAGTCAAATTACAAGGTCAATTTGTCTTTAGTAGTAAGGAAGTACTGAAAATGGTACATGAGGCAGAGGAAAAACCGAAGGAGAAAAAGCCACGAGGGCGACCACATAAACGTCCAATTGAAGAATTAGAAGAGGAGACTGAAGAAGAAGAGCCAGAGAGTAGTTCAAGTGATTTAGAGTTGGAATTGGATGAATGTGTAGCTCGTAGAACAAGATCACATAGAGAGAATTGAATTTTGTGACCCGGTTCCCCATATGACCCGGTTCACCATAAGTTACGTTATAATCTTTTATTAATTATTAAAAAAAATCATACTCAAATAACAAACAGATACTCAAACAACTCATCTACTCAAAAATACCTAGTAATTATAAATCAAAGTGTAATGTATAATATACATCCTAATCCTACTATTCCCAAATACATAATATATAAATCTAAGATTACCAGCACTAGCTTAAATAAATGATATATCATATCTCATTCCTCTCCAATTCCAGATAATAAATGTAATTCGCTCAACTCACTTATCAACGCATGAGGACTTCATGACTTAATATTAATAATATTCCATATTCCGTGTTTGTATATGTATATGCATTAGCCTACCCGTCTGCTTCCCATAAAGACAATCGCAAGAGTATATGTACCACCCACTCTCTTCAAAGGCAAAAATCCAACTCCGTCCCAATCATAGATATATTCCTCAAAACCAAATATATATCTATATCCATATCCATACCCCCTCCATATCACCCAACTCAGACCGCCCTCAAAATCCCCCAAGATCCCCCAAACATACCCTTTCCACCTAACACTCATTCTTCCCCCTCACCACACCCACCCTACCTCTCCCAACCCCCCCTATTCCCCACTACCACAACCACCAAACTAGTCACCATCAACAAACCCGTAATAAGCGCCACAAGAGCAATACTCCCCCTACTAGCCGGAAACTTTCCCCTAATAATATAGAATTGGCCTTCGAAATATCGATGAAAACCAACTGAGAGCATCAAAATAGATATACCGACGAAAGTTGCACCGAGAGGTTTGCCGAGGTGACGGAGATGGTTTTTGGGATCTGAGGGGTCGGATGGGTGGTGGGTGGAGGAGGAAGAGGTGTTGAGGCGGAAACTGGGGGTGGGTGTTAGTCAAGAGGTAGGAGGAGGATGGGGAGAAGGTGGGGGGGGGGGGGGGGGGGGGAGGGAAAGGGGAAAAGGGAGGGAAGAGGACAGAACGTACAGTTGAGTAATAGCAATCCCAATACTAGCAAAAGCGAGGGAAGTTCTCAACCAAGCCAAAAAAGTCCTTTCTATCCACACCCCATAATCAGCAATCAAGTCAATCAAATCAGCAAAACCCAATCATCAACATACTAAACCCTAGATAAAGATAAGACGTATGACAAAAGTACCACGAGTCAAGCGATAACAAGATTTAGCGATAGAAAGGCAAGGAAACGAAGTACAAACCAAGTGCCAAATGATCTCTCGCAACACTCCCCTTATTCTCCAATTCAATACTTCCATATTCCTCCATCATTCTCTTCCACCATTTTCCTATCTTTCCTCTTTCCTTTCTTCTATGTTCGCTTTCTCCAATATTATCGCTATTCACCCGTCTATCATTATTTGCTTCTCTCTCAGTTTCGGTCCCTGAGAATACTCGTCCCCTTCCTGTTCCTAATAATCCTCCTCTCTTATTTGAATCGTTTGTTCCAGGTTTTCTTTTCATACTATTGTTTCCATGATTCGTATCCGCGGTAATGGATGTAGCGATTCCAATTCCGATACCAACACCTCCATAATTTATATCTGATCTTCGTCGCAATACACTCGTTTCTTCATCGGCGCTACTTTCGCCTCTACTTTCTCTGCCATTTTTAGGTTCAGTTCCATTTCCATTTCCATTTCCATTCCCTGTCGCATATCCTCTTCTGTCAGAAGTCTGACTCTGGCTCTCATTGTTATTTCCTCCCTTTGCAGAGCTTGAACACTCATCCTCATTACCATTACCATTATCCATCATAACCTTCCTACACCTAGCCTCTTCCAAGATACTATCAATCCTCTGTCTCTTTCCCTCTTTAACCCTTTGACTTCCTCTGCCGCTAGAAATTTCACATGGGCTCGTAGTCCCACTTCCACTATCAATCTTCGTCCCTGGATTCGCACTCTGCGCAGCTGTATATATATTCTCTCCCTCTCGCACCTCAGTATTCGCATTCAAAGTATTCGTATCCTGCGTATCCAATCTCAATTGTAAGGTATCCGTCGAACGATTCGCATTCGTCTTCGCATTGATATCCGTCCGAATCCCACGCGACCTTGAATATCCCTCCCTATCCGTTTGCCTTTCATCACCACTCCCATCCGCATCCCTCGTACCCATCCCAGCCATCTCGCACAAGGAAACTAGATGTCCGCCTCGAGTATATCCTGTCTTGTCTTGTCTTATCTTATCTCCAGCGCACAATTCTGTGTCTGCAAACCCGCAAACCTGCGGACCTGCGATTTAGAATTCGCTATTCAATTGTTCGATTATCCAATTGTCCAATTAATACAATCGCACTGTAACCCGAGTCCAATGGTTCAATTGTTCAATCATCCAATTATCCAATCAATAACCCTATACAGCGTATCGTAACTGTAACCGTGGTCCTAACCGTCTTGTCTTGTCTTGTCTCTTTCACACAAGTTTATCCGCAGTGCCTTCCTTGTCTTTGCCTTGTCTTGCCTCGCCTTGCGCAGATCAATCTTCACACACGTAACCTTAAACCACCTAAAAAATGTCGTGCTTTCCCTTTCTTTTCTTTTCTTTTCTTTTCTCCTCTTCTCTTCTCTTCTCTTCTCTTTCACCAAACCAAGCCAAGCTAAAAAAAAAAAAAAAAACCTCCAAAAATCCAAAAATCCAGTTTATATAAAGTTACCAAGTTGCCAGGATCCATCCACCTTCCACTTCAACCTCAACCTGCAGCCAACCTTCAAATACTACGTACCTAGCCTACCTAGCCTACCTAGAACTCAAACTCGGTCGGTGTGCAAAGGGTTCCGCTTTTTCTATCATCTACCTATCTATGCAGGTACTGCACGAGTACTTACTTCAACTACCTACAGATGAAATAATAGACTAAAAAGATGTTAAGATTACAATTTCCATTTATGAATATGAACAAGAGAGGAAGAGTATTTGAGTTTCATAGATTTCGTTGCAACAGTCGACACATTATATTAATCTCATCAGTAATAAGTATATTGATTCCCTTGCGAATATAATATTCTACTGGTCAGTATCATGAATAAATGACCTCATCACTCATGTTCATCACATTCAATTTGAAAAAAGTCAATTCAAACATTAATAAAGATTCAAGGAACCAAAAAAAAAGTAATTTGTATACACGAAAAAAGCCACACACTTCATCTGATTATTCTATTTAGCTGTTTTTTTATTTTCTCTTCTCAAAATATCTCATCATCTTTCTGGAAAAGGTAGAATAAGTAGAGTGTAACAGATCTCCTTTTTCCTCGTCTTTGTGTTGTGCCGACTAAACTACTTGTATTGATACATGTACCATATTTCGCAGCCTCTGCCGTCAAGTTTGCCATTCACATCCACACAAAACAAGCCTTATTAACTCTCTACCATGTCTCCCTTAAAGAAAGACATGGTGACAATCCCAGATCCGTATGCGCTCCGTCCAATTTATTTTGTAGCCAGTATGAAAAAACATATGCAAGAGTGCCTGCGGCAAATTGATAAAGGGCCGTAGGGATAGAGGGGCACTCTGTACCAGGAGCACGTCTCCTTCAAAATGCGTAACAGATACGTAGAAGAGTTAACCAAGGTGATCGCTTCAAAGGAAAGAAGGCTTTCCCGCCGTCATATGAACATTCATCTGCTGAGAACACAACTTTTATTCCACCCACAACCTCCACCCCACAAGAAATTCATCCATGCCTACACAACATTCGGAGCGTTGTATTCCAACGTCCAAATATCTTCCACTTCAATAATGTAAAAACATTAGCGACATTGATTACAAAAGGAAAAATTGCCACACGAAGTATATTCAGAGACCAGATGGAAAAAGGGTATATTATTGACAAAGTTTGTTCGAAAGTTGCACGTGGAGCGTAGGTTCGAAGATCCGAGGCTTAGAATAACTTGAGGGCGTGTAAAAGAAAAATTGACTACAACGACCATAAGTTGCAGTAATGGTATGCGCGCGAAAAGAAAAGAGTATGTGCACCAGAAATTTTGGAAAGGAAATCGAGGACCTCAAGCGTCTATGAGAAGACGTATGTAGCGGTACCGCCTGGGGTAACGGAGACCTAAAGAATATGTTAGCTAACAATCCACAACTTCTTGCCAATAAATTAACTTACGGTGCAGCCTGTTGAGGAGACAACACCATTGTTGTAATATGTTCCAGAGGAGTAGGAACATTTTCCGGAGACATCACCTTCGATGGTGATGGTAAAGTTCAAGATACCGTAAGTGTTGGTTGGGGTGTTGGGGATGATTGACAACCAAGTGTTACCAGAAGCATCTTTACCAACACCAGCATTGACAGGAGCCCAGTTACCGACATTTCCACCTTGAGTACCCCAAACGCAAGCTTCACTGATGCCAGTTCCTTGTGGGTTGATGTAGTATTGTGCGGAAGTTGGAAGTCCCTCCCATGAGTAGTAGTCGCTGGCATCTGGGCAAGTCAAATCGTAGGTTTGACCAGGAGAGGTAGACAAAGGAACAGTTTCAGCCTCGAGACCAGGGTAATCGGTGCGGCAAACAGCAACAATGCTGTCGAGCTTATTCTCCACCTTGACAGATCCAGATCCAGCGGTGCAGAGTTGCTTAACAGAAGGTCGGGACAATTCAAGCTTGCCATTGGAGTTGCAGTAAAGACCACCGATCGATTCGCCGGTGCTTCCTTGTGCGGAAGGCCATTGAGATTTCTGGTATCCAGCTGGGCAGGCATAAGAGCAGAAGGCACCCTTAACACATCCACCGCTTGTGATGGTGTTAATGGTTACGATTGAAGAAGCAGAAGTGGTGTAACCAGGGGTGCTTTGAATACCGATCCATCCATTCAAACCAAGGTAGTCAACGTGAATTGCACCGTACTGAGATGGGAAAGTGGAACAAGAGATTTCGCCACTTGGGAAGTCGGCCCAGTTGCCGGAGCTGCTGGATGTGGGAACCGAGACCGCAGATGTGGAGGACTTGGAAGCGGCAATGCTTGATTTAGATGTCGAAGTTGAAGTCGAGGACGATGATGACGATGATGATTTGGAAGAAGATGAAGATGCCTTCTGAATAAATTCTGCGATAGGCTTGGTGGTCGAGCTGGGAGCAGGCGTAGGAGTGGTCTCGGCAGCAGGAGTGGTTGCAGCAGCAGGAGTGGTCTCGACAGCAGGAGTGGTCTCGGCAGCAGGAGTGGTCTCGGCAGCAGGAGTGCTGGTTGGGACGGGAATTGAACCAGTAAACCAGTTAGTAGCAGATGGTGCATCAGAGAGTACCTGATCTCCGACCAAGACGTATTTTCCAGATGCCAATCCAGCTTGAACTTCGGCCAAAGAGATATCCTTTCCATTGAGCATGTAAACCGTCTCGACTGGACCTGGCATGACCTCTGTCACCGAAACAACAGCATTCTCACGCGCGACCTTGTTTGCTCTAGCTGGATGACGGTGTTGATGGTTGTGAGGTTGCGCAATTGCAACACCCGCAACGCTCAAAAGCGCAACTGAAACTGGGGTGAACTTCATTGTGAAGAGAACTCTTGCGATATGGATAGACTAAAGGTTTTCTTGATTCTGAACTTTGAAGACTCTTAATATATCGATTGGATGTGAAGCGCAATCACAATTGTAAATATCTTGGTGGGTTGAGAATTTGGTCGTCGTCGAGGATTGAAGTTGACTTCAAAGTTGAAGAGAAGATATTAGCGTTCAACTCTCTCCAAGATGCGACAATTGACAACAAATCTTGTTGAAAGGCGATGTGAAGTCAAATAACAACAACGAATGACTGACTCGACCAACAGGGAAATAAGATTTCAATGGGGAACAGTGGGACGGTGAATGAATGGAAACACGAGAGGTTCAATTACATACCTTGGCGATAGGTTCAATCGGACTTAATTTCGAAGATTCAGTCTAAAATGAAGGTCTTTTTTTTTCTAGGATGGAGAATAATTTGTAAGGGGAGAGATGGGACAAATTGAGGTAAAGTCGCTTTGAAAGGATAATGGATTTCTGAGGGTTGATTTTGATTTTTGAGTATTTGTTTTGATTTGTTGATTTGCTTAAGGTTTAATTGATTTTTGGAGGAAGAGAGAAGATTTTGATTTTGAGATAAAAGTCGCTGTTCCAAATGAATGTGGTAGAGAGTTGTTTATTTTGGGTATGATAACAACTCTCAGTTGGGAGGGAATGCTTTGAAAAAAAAAGAGGGTTGATGAGGTTAGTTGAAGGGTGTGAGGTGTAAAAGGGAGAAGTATCACGGAAAAAGAGGAGACAAGAAATTCAAGGGCAATAGCAGAATAGTATAAGGGAATAATAAGATGGACGTGGACGTGGCTATGGGAACGAAAAGCGAGAAGGGTAAGAAGGAAGGGGTGAATGCTGGGTGATGGACCAGTCAGAGTCACGCATTGAAATTAGATTCAGGTACACGATGAAGAGATGGACCAATGAGTATGTAGAGAAAGAGTGGAGTGGGGAGTGGGGTACGCTAAAGGAAATATCCTAGCTGGGCGCTCTCGCTCCTAGCTCCTTCTTAGCGTTGAGCTTAACCTTGTCTAGTAATAAATATCATATTATTAGAGATGAAGTCAAACATCCAATGGGAGATTTATGTGGGAGATTTCATTCTGGACCTGGATGTGCAGCATGGGTTGGGAGATTCAAGATTGGCCTGGGTGGGTGGCTAAGTAGGAAGGTAAGAGGTAATAAGTGTACTTGGGAGTGAACATTGAACCGTACCCAAGAGCCTAGCATGTTTTACAGAGTAGAAGGAGGATGTGACAGGACAGAGATGCGGAGATGGCAAAGATGATCTATCTCTTACCTCTACACAGATGAAGAACCGGCCAATTGATGGTTCAAGTGAAGATAGGAGATGCACACAAAACACTACAATAGTCAGAGTCACCTTAAATAACATGGTACCAAAGAATCAATGATATTCTCATACAAATCTTAAAAGGTCTGACCATCGTGACTATAACAACATGATTAATTTCCCTTTAAAGCTTTTAAGCTTGATTACTGATAGATAAGCAGTATCTATCTATCTACCAGGTAAATGTGATCGAGCACATCTTGAATCATTTCTTGAGATCAACATGTAAAATCCAAGATGTTCTGACTGGTTGCATGCTGAGGACGGAGAGTAATAATAATAAATCAATGACACAGAGTCCAGACAAACCGACAACCTCACTTAACTCTCTCACTTAATGCTCAATGCTCAACTGCGCAAACATTATTTATCTGTGCATTACACCGAAACATCCCCATTTCACTTCACTTCACTCAACCCAAGGAAACATGTTCTAAGACTTACATCCCATCCAGTCAGTCAGTCTTCTTTTGCTTCTAAACCTCTAATTTCGGCTATTCCACCGACGGTTACGTTAGATGAAGAGAGAGCACGTATACGTAACCAAGTGAGCACCAACAATAATAAATATCTCCAACGACTCCATCAAGATTAAATCTTCCCATTCCCATTTCTGCGAGTAATAAATAAAGATCTTGGAAGTTGGAAGTTGGAAGCTGGAAGCTTGGAGAAAGACGCCAGAGAGAGACCCTTTCAATAATCGGTCTCGGGATGACCTTTTTAACCTTACCCTAGAACAAAAAAAGTCCCGTGCTCGGGTTTCATCTTATTTCTTATTCAAGGAACGTTCCTCAAATGCGAGCGAAAATTTTTTGTTTCTTTTTCCTTTTTTTTCCTTTTATATTTTAATTTTTGCCGCTGAGCTTGCCATGCCATGCCATGCCATGCCTTTGACCAAATAGACCCGGATCAGGTACCTAGTAGTTCATCCCATGCGAGCCTTGTATCGTTTATGTGATTCGTTTCGTCCCAAGATACGTTTTTGTTACTGACTTCGGAGGAAGTAGTGGAATCGGGATCACCGTTCATAACTCAGGGGTACCGTTTCAATAACCCCATCTACCTAGTATCTAAACTTTTAAAGACAAGACAAAGACCTCATGATTTTAATAACTCGCCAATTCAACCAATTCAATCCAATTCAATCTTTACTGCGGGTGTCAAAGATAACGAGCACGATAGATAATCTTTTCATGTCGTGATCTATGTGTATGTGTATATATGTATGTATTTTTGTATGTATGCTATGTTCTGGACATACACCTATTGATTGAAAGTCGTGGCTCATGACGAGTCTCAAATTTTAATCTCATAACAACATGGCAATAGTCTGTTTTTTAATGGTGGGGTTGTGGGTTGTGGGTGGTGAGTGGTCACTGGTGAGTGGCATGAGGACCACGATAAGTTTGTTCAAAGATCATAAAACATGTGGTAGTGAGGGATTTGGGGTTCAGAATTGAGGGAGGGTCTTTGGAAGTTGTGTGGCAGAGTTGATGAAAAGCGGATGAGAAAAAAGTTAATAAAGAAAGATATTCTCTCATCCTCTTCGTATCACGCTTAAATCCTGTATGATCCTGCCTCAACTGCAGCAAATGTCGTACGGCAGGATCATTCCGTTACACTTATTAATATTATTCATGGATGATTCCAACACGCACGGTAGGTAGGGTAGAAAGAATCTTACTCGTTATTTATCCCTGATTTAAAGTTATTCAACCATTTAAGATATCTATAGACAGACAGACTATTATAATCTATATCTCCACGTTGCTATCACAACCTCCAAACTGTCTTCACCCGTCCGTCCGTCCGCCAGATGAATCGTGAAAGATGTGCAACCCAACTTCCACATTCATCACGCATCCAACAAGGGCCAGCCCAATCGATACAAATAAATTCGGAATTGGATCTCAGGTCCTCCACTCCCCAATAAAACCCCAAAGGTGGCAACAAGAAAGCATCCAGACCAATTCAATTGCACATCCATCAGATTCAGATCGACATCAACAAATCTAATTCTCTCGTATCCTCATTTTTCATTTCCTTTATAAGTTATAACATCGCACGCACTATTAACCATCCATCAGCTACCAGCCACTGGCTTTTGGTTCTCAGAAACGGCCAGATAGAACAATATGATAGAATCTACTCGTGCGACCAGAAAGTCTGCAATACATTCCTACTGGATATTCTGGTTTCTATTTTGATGATAGGGCTATTGATCTATCAGAGGTTAAATTCTACAAATGCATACTAGACACGATGACATTTTAGAGTATATAGATATAGATTGAAAACCCTCCATAAACCAATATTCATTTAACCTGTTCTTTTATTCTTCTATTCTTTCATACAGAATACACACAGTACGAACTCTCAATCAAAAAAGTGGAATAACAAAAGTAAATACCTCTATTCTATTATCCTACCTACCTACTACCTCCAATAAGGTTTTTCCCCGCCAATTCTAAACTTTCTAGCCACACAAAAGTATAAAGTAAAGTAAAGATACGGGCTGAGCCGTCTCCTCTCGTCACATCTCGTCCAACGCCTTGAAAAGTTAAAAGCTAGCTAGTTGTCCTTCCACCCTTCCACCGCTGCTTCTTGGCATTCCTGAGTACGGAGGGAGGTACTTTTCTTTACCCCTGACTATATTCAGGCACTGCGTTATTATTCGTTTGTAGTATGCTTGCTGGCTGTACTACATTTATTTATCTATTCCGGCCTATGTTATCATTGCATTGTTTGTATAAAACTTGTACTACTAATAGTACCTAAGTACATTTGCATAGATATCTAGAGGGGTTGATTATAAGATCTTACAGCGTTGAAACAAGCTACAGAAATGAACTCAAAGTGCCTAATCAAAGCTTGATATAAAGAAGGGAATAATAAGCTCACGAAAATCAATATATTATTATTGCTTTTCATTCGTGCGTGACCCAATTTATAAACAAGCTGATCTCAAGCAATCCGATAAATCGGCCATGCTTCACTGATTTTAACTTGTACTCCGTATATCCGATCGGCCCGTTCACGTGCCCCAAGCGAAAAACGATATTCTTAAAGTTCCTATCCGTTCTCCCGAAAGCTTCACTCTAAATAATTACTAGGTAGGTACTGTATATATGTATGTAGTCTCAACATCAAAATAAAGCAAAAAATGCGCAAGTGCGCTTGTTGATCATTGTGTTCGTGTTTGTCTCTTCTCGTATATCATCGCTCTTACCAGTCTCGTTCGGGGGAAATGCCAGACGATAGTTTGCCTGGCTCTCGATACCTATTGGTGTTAAGCTAGAACGTACCTCGTCATGTCGGAATCTTTCTTATGCCGTCATATTTTGTTTTTTGTAATGAGATTGGAAAGCTTAATGGTGTTCAATTTACCATCTTGCGGTTACTAGGTTTATACTCATTGTTGGTATGCGCCACGAATAAGGCATAGTTACTTGGTTACCAAAAACTTATGCTAAGTTGCTAAGAAGAAGGAATGAGATAAATACACAAGATGAAGTTCTGAAGCTACTATCATGAGTCTCATGAGAACTCTAACCAATAATATTCCGTTTCTTGTCGAGATGACCAAACTGCTATTATCACTGTCCATTCTAAGTGCTCACTCCAAATCAATATCATTATCATTCCAATTCTCATAAGACTCTCACAAAAATATACCCCGCAGCTGGAGGGCCCCCACGTTCCACATTCCTTCCTATATCGATTTATCCACATTCTCATCTTATATATTTACTCCTATCGATAAATAAACACAAATGTCTTGTAAATTCCAGTATACCAGGTTTTGGGGAATTGTGGCAAATTATCCGATAAGGCTTTATGCGCGTTGCCCAGGGCTGAGGTTTGATATTTATCCGAATTCTCAATGATGTACAATTTACGTTGGTGGCTGTGAAACCTGTAAATTCATCATAGTGTAGCTGCGTATTTGTGTATTGTAAGATTGCTCTTAATTAAGATGTTGAAATTGGCGAAACACATTAAGATTTGTATTTACGGTCTGCTCACTGTTGTTTAACATGCATTTTCTCACTTAAGCTCACGTGCTCGTCGATTTATATCTTGCATCATATCAAAATAAGCAAAACAATCAATCAATGCAACAGAAATGGATTAGTAATGTTATGATTTTTGCAAACCTTTAGGTCTATCATACTGCTTTTCTTGAGGTTCTTGTAATCAGAAGTCTAGAAGTTCTGACATTACATCTTTGTCAGACTTGATCTCATCATTAGATCTGGGACAGCGAGGTGGGCTTTATCTGGGCTTGCAATCAAGCCTAAGCGTGTACTCACTGTCCCTGTAAGTTCAATACAGGGCTTTGGAATGGGTGAGATGAACCTTGGACCTTCATTTGGAATTTTTTCCGCCAGGTAATTTGCGTATTATGGTGTATGTATAGCTTATCAAGATAACTGTTGGTTATTTCTCTTAAACTGTGTATCATTCGTTAAATATCTTTCCATTTGAAATCACCCCGGGTTACTCATAGTTACAGCCTAATAAGAAAAAATGACTTTTTATTTTGGTTAACATACCTGTCTAAGTAAAACCCCGCGTTGAGGATGAAACTGTCAGAAATAGTGAATCATGATGACAATGACAAATGCACTCCCTATATACACTACATCAATTAGATTAATATCACCTATCTCTAACAGGGTCTTCCCTGCCTCTACTCTATATAGCCTACTGAACTATTTTATCACATATTCATTCATGTGGATCTTCCATTCTCTTTCAAGCAATCCGGCTGAGCTCTCCACACACCAAATATAAAGCGCTTCTTACTGACTAGCGATACCGGCTCTAGTTGACGGCAGTTAATATTTTCAGACATTCAAAGTGCCTGTCACTGTTGTAGTATATTCTTTGTCATAGATAAACTACGAGAAATTTTAATTCCTTCAATATATAGGTAGGTTTGAGAGGTTAATTCTTCGTTGTTTATTCAGGTTATTTAGTATAATAGCTTGTTGGTGGGTGTTTTGCCAAGAATGGAAGAGCAGCGTGGTGGATGTTCTGTGTCTAATTTGTCGAGTTGGAGTGGGTTCATTCTTATTTTTGTTTTATAAGATATAGTTAATCATTTTAGATATCAAAATTTTGTTTATACTTTTTAATCTCAGACCATAAGTCTTACTACAGATGACGATCAATTTATCGTCCAGTCGATCCAAATCGTTCTCTACTGCGAAACCAGTCTCCGTATCTCATCAGCAAGCTCAATGAAGGAATGAAAGCGGCTGCGATCAATGCTAAAACAGTATTACCCCAGCCCAACCCAATTCTTTGATATAGAGGAGGGCCGATTAGTGGTAGAAAAGCCCCAGCAATCGCTCGGAAGATTACACCAGCAGCTATAGAAGATGCCCCATGGATCTTGTAAATATCCACTACGTATGTTTCAACAGTTATAGTAGAAATCGTTATGCTAAACCCCGCAATACATGTTCCGATGAGCGGCACAATGTATTGAACATGAAACGCCAATGCCCATCCGTAGATGAGGAAGCCCAGAGGAAGAATGATTGCGGAACCAAGCAGATACACCAGCCGAGACTCGGGCTTGAATGCATCGCGCTTTTTTTCCCGCTGATGAATCACGTAGCGGTCGGAAGTGAGACTGTAGAAGATCAAAGTGATTGTATTGCCGATGGCGAGATTTAAAAATGTCAAGCCAATGGAGCCGCTAGAAAAGATGGTCGGGTACGTCGACTTGATGGTTTCCGTGAGTGTGGCAAGGATTAACGAGAGTAAAGCGTAGGCTGCGGCCATGTAGCTCGTCGTTAGCATGAGGATGGGAGACTGGGCTAGAATCTGCATCGGCTTCATAACGCTTTCGAAAATGGTAGATGCATCGACACGGGTCTGATGTTTGAAACGATACTTCTTGTCATTCCCGCTCTCCTTTTGTAACCGCCCCGCCTTCCGCTTCAGAATAACGACTGCGTATGTCTCCCGGAGCACGATCAGTAAGAATAAGCTGAAAATTCCGAGCACGATGACCGCCAGCCAAATCGACCATCACCAACCTAGGTCCTGAGCAATATACGCTCCTGCAACAGGTGAGATAAAATCTGCTATCATCTGAGTTCCCATAACCAATGCCATACTCAAGCCTATATGTTCCAATTGGAACAAATCCCCAACGATAGTAGGCCCAAGGGTCAGAATCGACAAGAAGCAACATGTTAAGAATCGAAACGCAATCAGCATGGGAATATTCACGCTCAGCGCGCAGGCAATCAAGCAACACAGCGCGAGGAAATTTCCAATGTGGAAGACGGGAAGCCGGCCGAATCTTTCAGAGAGCGGCGCTATGAAAAACGGTCCAATTCCTTCTCCGAGCTCCCAGATCGTAACGAGTAAGGTCTGGTCGAGCGGACTGCGCGAATGGAATTCTTGCAAGATTTGTGGCGCTGTGGTTGTGATTGTCATTGTTGAGAAGACACTAATTTAGTCAGTCAGTCAGTCAGTCGGCCACGGGGGATATACAGAGACTGGCAGGAAAAAAAAAAGAAAAAGAAAAAAGACGCTCACCTAACAAACCCCATCCAAGAGATAGCGGACACAATCAGCCATTTTTGTATTAACGGCCAATTTAGAGGGTTTTCTGGGTCGTTCTCCTCATAGTCTACGAGGATAACGTCTAGATTGCTGTCTTCGATGGGAATTTCCAATGGCTGTTTGGTGAACTTTTCATTCTTGCTTTCTGTAGTAGCGATAGGCTTATTGTCTGATACGTTTTGCAGCTCGACTGGAGATATGATGGGCATTAGGTGGGGGAGAGCCATGTCCATGTCGATGGAAGATATCAGTGTCAATATCATATAATATGTGAGTGCTCTATGCAAAGTGTATTTCTTCAAATGTTGAGACTACAGACAGGAAGAAGTAAGCTTACATTACAATGCGAAATAAAGCGAAAGTCTAAAGTTTTCAAGTATACAGAAGTGCACTTGCATTTCAAAAGCCTGAGCCTAAATTACACGGGGATCTGTTATCTCCACAGCCGACAGTTGGTAACCCTGCTGCCTAGCGCATACCTAGACTTTTGAAATGCACTACTGTATGATAAGCATTGCGGCATTAGTTATACGCGATTAAGATAGCACTATCAGTAGGATGTATAATACATATTGCGAAAGAAAATCTCAATTAAGAATTCTTCTTTACTATCAGTCTGCTAGATATGCAGCGGAAGATCTAGAGTCTACCCGTTCTCAATGGGGTTTAGATCAGAATTGATAAGAACAGGCAGGTGGATTTGTTTGGAAGAGTCCCGTGCATACCAATTCCCGAAAGATTTCCTAGGTCTGGTCTTGAAGTCGGAAGTCTTGAGGGTTGGAGGGTTGGATTTAAGGGGTGTACTCCTACCTCAACTCGCCTAATCTAGCTTGTGCATGTCGATCGTAGAATTTTTATATAGGAGAGTCTAAGTAGTCGCCAGTGGGTGCACGGACTGCCTGTCCTGTAAGTAAATTATAAATTTTGTCAAAAATCAATTATTTCAAAATTGAAATAAAATTTAACTTTATAATATTTTTGACTGAAACTCAAAGATAAAAAAGATCAAACAGTGGAATATAATGAATGTATTTTAAAAATATTTCAAAAAAACATTAATTTTAAAATTAAAAAATAATTTTTTTTTAAAAAAATTGAATAAAGAAAAATGATCTAGTTTATAAAATATTAAATTTTGATTATAATAATTTTATTTCTAGAATATATAAAATTTTAATTTTAATACTTTATTTGATAAGAAAATCTATAGTATTATCTTGATTACTAATGTTTAGATAGTATTAATATTATCATATTAAAATATTTTTAACTATATTTTTCAATACTCCTTACTCTCAATAAAATTCTCAATTATTCCTTTTCATCCCTATCCTGAAATCTTTTGAAGACTCCTTCCTACTTCTAATAACGAGTTCCAATAAGCCTATCCCTTCTCACAATGCAGGATAGGAGAGGAGGGAAAATTAATACCACCGCTTTCGGACAAATTAATCAAGATACTGAATGTCATAATATATATATTAAATGAAATATGAGCCAGGCCTGTAATCTAGGCTTTTGGGCAATCAGGCAAATGGACCGATCCGAATACCCCCCAGAACCCGCCACAACACGTTTTCTACACATATAGGTTATAGTAACAGCAGTCTTGTCACATGCTGCACCGTCTGCCTCCTCTAAATTGTAGACCCCTTTCGCATCTAAAGGCCCAGGTGGAAGCATCCTCCTCGACATGTTCGATTGAGTTGTGGAAGAAAAAATAGATATCATAGAAGATTAAAGGAAATTATAGATTAGAAGGCATGGAGGATAGTAGACGGAGAGAGATGGTTTGAGCTTAAATTGTGCAGCAATAATAAAGAAGGCAGTTTAATTCCAGGCAAAACAGTTATACTAGGATAATTAGTAAACTACGATTTTCAGATACCTTCCGACGTGAGGGAAGGTGTTTTTACTGACAAAGATCTCTTCTGACTTCCCAGTTAATGTTTAAATACAAAAGAAATCTCCGCGTAGCCCATTTCGAATAACCCTATAGATATATCGAATCGAGAAAATGAAATTACTAGTACCATATGCATACATCATGGAGCCATTCTAAAGGTTCTCCTACGTGATTGTTGAGCCTAAGGTCTCTTGGTCACATATACCAGTTGATAAGACTTCCTTAATAGATCTAGGAAGAGAATTTGAAAGCATTAAAAGACAAATTAAGCTTAAAAGGAGAAGGAAGAAAAAAAGGAAGGAAGGAAACATAATAACCTCGAGGGGTTTGGCGAGAACAACTTTCCTTACCCTTGCCCGTAGCATCGCATTTTAATCCCCTCGTTGAAAGAAAGTTTGAGTGTTATACCTTAGTGTAGTAACTAGACCAAAGAAAACATAGAATTTTAGAGACGAAAGGTCTAAGTAACCCTCAATCATTGATATTGTGAAGTTGTTCCATTCTACAGAAGCCATTTCTTTGAACCTTCACCAGGCCAACTACCATCACAATATACGCACTCATGTTTTGGGCAACTAGAAGTATCTTAAACGAGAGTTAAATAGGAATACCATGAGTAGGTTCTCGTGGCTTCCGCATAGTACCATATTCTCATCGGGCTTGGGGGTGTACTGGACTGTGTAGCCGAAGAGGAAGCAATTGGCGTGAGCCTAGAGGAGGCACCAGTCAGAGTGAGCCCCCTTGAAGGAGGAAGTTGCAACAGGTGTAGATTATGCTTGCGGAATAGCAGATGTTGTTGAAGAGCCAGCCAATGCATTCTGGGCCTCTCTCTTCACCGCAGCAAAAAAGTTATATATTTCGATAGCATCAACAGCCGTCCCAGCATCTTTATAACACCCCATATCTGCAGACTCATTGCTGCCTCAATAGGGACGGACATCAATATGACCTCCGTTTAACACAACAGTCCAAGCTCGAATCTTCGTTCCATATGCAACTGCACCATATACTTCGGGTCGATGTGCCAATTCTTCTGGTGAAAAGGTATCCTTTACAAAATCATAAAGTTGTTCTTCCATCTCTTGAATAGAGCAAGGAGTTCTGCTGTGACGCTTACATTCTACCATAAGTAGAGTGATAGGGCGGAATTTGTTGTCATAATAACGAGCGATAATGTCTACAGCTTTGGTTGTGTCATCCACAGGCTGTTGCCCATTCACAGCAATACCATCAGTCGCCATATAGTAGTTGAGGATATCCTGCCATAAAGGAACCGTAGCAGACTCTCGTTTTTCGGGATCGCTAGCTTCGAGATAGGCACCATGCAATGCCCACGTCTTGATAAGTCCATAAGGTTTGAAAGACATCTGTGGCATTCTTAGTTCATGATGCATTTTTAAAATATGGTATATCAACGTACTTTGTTGACTTAAGAAGATATGGTTGCGAATTGTCCTCCTATCTGAGCAGAAAAAGTGTATAAATTCTCGGCAATGGTTGAAAGGTAGAATAGATATGATAATTCAGCAGATAGAATGAGGTGGTGAAAAGCAGGTATGTTTCTCAGGAGAGTTCAGCAAAGGAGTTCAAATTCACTGTTTAAAATCATAACCTAAAATTAAGGTCATAACGGTAGTCATGCTTTGCTGTGACTTGATTTATGTCGCAGCTCTTCATCAAGATATAAAGACAAGTTATTCTGCACTAAGGTCAGATGACTCCAGTGTCAGGCAAAGAATGGTACTATGCGGCAACCATTAGCTATACATTCATCTCAATGGACAATATCTCACCATCGCACTGCATTATGTCTTCATCATCATTATCCCTCACCCTAAGAAAGATCTACTCACGTTTCGGGCAATGCCAAGTAGGGACACTGCATGGCATATAGAAGCACGAATCAATGTAGCCAGTCAGCTTTCGGATCTGCTCGAAAGAAAAGAAAATATTATCTCATTTTCTAAGAGTTTCTTAAATAGCATGTTACGAGGTTTGCCGTCTAGATCACGTGGAAGTGCTCTAGGCTCTCGAGGTGGTTTATAACTAGACGTCAAGCAGGGACTTAAAGTAATGACAATAATGCAATTCGTAACTAATAGTAGAGTATACTAAATGATTGATCTTGAGCACGAAGCTCTATACAAAGGAAATCCATCTTGATTATATAGACCTTCGTGCCTCCTTAAAAAAACCGATGGCTATGAGCCCGATAAATCGATCACCGCAAAGCCGATCTTGATTTGTTGGTGTGTGAACGAAGTGAATGACTTCAATTCAATTACTACTGTAATAAAGAACTAGGCGAACGCGAAAGAGACTAGCTCTTTTAGTAAGTCTATATAAGACTTACTACTTTCAATATGTAGCTAGCTCTTTAGACAGAATACAATTAGACATACAGGACCTACGTAATCCGTGGGTGCTACGTCTTCCGTATCCTTCTCGTACCAACAGTTGGTTTCTTGATCATGTGATCAAGAACGTGACCTATGTTACTGTCCGACGTAACACGAGAAGTGGAATACTTGATTTAAAATAAAAACTTTAACATTTTAACAAAAAATAATTGCAAGTTATAAAAGCTTTAGAATTTATCAATAATATATATATATAATCTAAATATAAACTTTTATAAAAGAATAAGATACTAGAAATGTAAAATGTCAAGTTTTGCGGTCCTATACACTACAGGACGAGGCACCACAACGGATATTGAATGAGCTACAGCCAGCCAATCCTCAAGAGTAGCAACCCCATGGATCTCAAGTTCCAGCATATTCCCTCCAGCTACAATGCCAGATGCTAATCTAAAATTCAGAAAACAGTTATGTAAGTAGCAGTCAAGTTATACCACAACCATGTGATGAGCATCCTATCAAATCCCTATAGAATAAAAGCTAAGAACTACCCATGAATCTACCCAGCTGTAAGAAACTTTCATCATTCTCCCAGGTAATAAGCGCAACAGCATTCAAAATGCGAAAATAACAAAAGATGGCAACAGTATTATTTGATGTTTGTATGATATTTGACTTCTGATCGGTGTTGTGATGAGCCATCCTGTCGAGAATAGAAGAGCATTTATTTAGGTAAGCTTGCCATGCAAGTGAACGACCGAGGTGGAAACGATATCTTGCACAAGAAATTTGGTAAATAAGTGCCCCACTCAGCTTCATTGGTATTCCTTCTTTATTGCTATAGATTCAAAATATCATCAAGCACATTGTTCGTCTACCAGGAGTAGGAAAAAAACAACTGGTGCCAACTTTTCACGAGACCATCGGCGTCGATCGTGTGTTGTTTTAAAAATAATGCTAGAACTTGTGGGACCATACGTGGATGGCACATAGTCTGAATGGCTCTCCGAATTCATATTCCATAAGAGTTTTCAATTAACATCAGAGCCTAGGGGTACCAAGACCTAGGAACAAATAGATTCATGGACCATAGAGTTGGAGGTCATAGTGTCGCTTAGATATTTTAGAATATACTACGGTACAATGCTTGATCAGGGCTCACTCTCTCATATAGCCATGATCATTTGTATTATATACTTCTTTATATACTGTAACAGATTAAAACTTGAAGAAGAAAAATGACAATTAACTGAAACGCAAAAAGCGAAAAGCATCCTTACAAATTCATCCCCTAAAACCTAAAATGGCTAACCGAAGGGATCCATTTCTTGGCAATGCCGAAACTAGCTAGACTAATCACACTCAAAGGCTAAAAAGGCGGCCACATGAGCGCTGGCATAGGAAGGAGCAGATGGTACATAGTATACGGCTTTGAATTGTCCAATATAAGTACCGTCCAGGCTTTTATCAATCAGGTCGAAAGCTCTAGATCTAGAACAGCAAGCTAATCTATCTCTAGCATCAATACATAATCTCATCTATAATAAGTCATTTAATCATCTACCGACACCAATTTTCCCTTTAAGATCTCTCCAAAACCTCCCTCTCCCTTGCAATCTTATTATTCCCAAGACTAACCCCAATCTCCTTCACCACCAACCACCCAGGAATGAGCGCCAATCCCCAAAGGCCAAAATTGAGATATACACCTCCAACATTACCCATTACTGTGATGCTATTTAACCCGTACTATATGTTTCGTCAGTTATTTTGTGATATGGATGATGTGATAGAGGTGAAAAAGAGGACTCACACTAACGGCCTGAACAGCTGATTCCGTTCCTCGAAGTAGTGCTGCGATTCTTATGACTTCTTCGGCGGTTCTAGCGAGATTTCCAATGAGGAAGTATCTGATGGTTGTTAGTAATTATGTAGGATATTGAAGTATGTATGTACTCACAGGAATAAATAGTTGATTTGAAATCCGGAAACCCATCCTAGAAATACTAAAAATGTCCTCACGAATGCTCCACCATCAGACCAATCAAATACTGGTAGCGGATTCTGACCCGAGTAGTGTGTCACGAGGACAGTTCCCCATATCCACCAAACCTAGAATCAAAATTAGTAAATAGATAGAGGTAAACATCAAAAAGTGACTGAAACAAAAGAGCAAATACTCACACCCTGTAACCCTAAAATTACCACAAAAGACCATCTCGCTCTTTTTTTCAACGGCCACTTCTCCCGATCCAAAAATGCGCCCAACAAGTTACCCGAAATCATTGCCACAATCCCGGAAAGAAACGAACCCAATGCTCTTCCTCTCACACTGAGCCACACAGATTCATAAGTAAACATAACCGCCTCGCTATAAACTCCCTGCGCAATAAGCGGCACCAGCAACAAAAAATATTTACTTATAAACAATTTCGACGTAAGTTTTATTTCCCTCCAGCTAGATTCCGAAATGCGAAGATTTGGGATGACTCCGTCAGTTCGTTGAACCTTTTCAGGTGGTGTGAGGAGTAATGCTGCAAAAGGTCCAAGGGCTTGTAACGCGATGAATATAAGATATACATTGTATGATACCTTGCCTCTACCAGAATTATCCGCATTAAGAGCTAGATTAATCACGCCGCCCAAAACCTGTCCGCCAACTCGGAAACTTAACCATAATCCTAGGAATCTTCCTTGGTTCTCGGGTTCCGGATAACTCAATGCGACGGCTGCTTCAGCCATCCAAAAAACACCGGCGGAAATCCCGCACAAAGCGGCGCCGACGAGAACAAGCCATTCGTTTCCATATCGATTGTTGCAGTAGAGTCCAGCGGCGTATGGGGCGTAGCCGATAGTGCCAAAGATGAGAGCGGCTTTTATACCAATATACTTAACGAGGACAGAGGAGAAGAAACAGGAGATAACCATGAGGCAGAAGGTTAGGGCATTAGCGGCATTAACCAAATAGGGACTTTCTTCGCCGCCGGCCCCTAGACTGTTCATTGCGCCCCAGATACCTGGGGCCAGGAAGTTACAAATGCCGAGGATGATGGCATTGTAAAGAGTTGAGCGGTACCATTTTACTATAGTCTGTTAGGATTATATTATATTATGATAGATATGAAAAGAGATCAAGAATGAGGAAACAAACATACCAGGCCGCTTTTCCCTGAGCACAGGCAAAGCTTCATTGTCAGAAGATATCGAAGTATCTAGCACTTCCGACTTGTCAGACACCATGATGATTCAATGAAGCGAGAAAATGAATTGAACGGCGGAACACAGAATGACAGATTGGGTACTGAGGTCCAAACCGTTTTATCTATCTATGGTTTCCCACAGATATGGATGCACAGTAATCAAATCGAAGTCAAAAAGCCGGTAGCCATGCATTCTCCACCTCGGTTACATGGCGTGATGAGCACGGAATTGAAACCTTGTCATGACGAACACTATACTTTAACTAGCACTGCATCAGAGGGGTTTTCAGTAAAGATAAGCAGGCACACTCTTCTTGGAGCTATGGAGGGAAACAAAAACCTTTCCGTATCTAGACCACAATCTCTTAGATTCGATTTCGTTTGGGTTTGTGTATCTTGACTAACTTTTCGAACGAGATTTTAAGGTTTGGAATTTTCCGCCCCAGCTGATCCATACTACCGGGTCTTACTACAGGATGATGTACATTAAAATCGGATTATTGATAGCGTTAAGGAGTGTAAAGTGAAAGTAGCATACATGTCGTGCCTTTCTAGGTCACGAAGGCAGCGTTGTGAGACCTGTATTAAATTGAAAAGATCTAGGTAATTGACATGATCTACTCTATAAGCCTTCAAACCATTCTTCATGATAACTTCTCAAATCAACCTGATCTGGACGTTTGAGGTATGGTGTCAGATCACTATTCGCAATCGTCTCTTTTACTGTCCAGCCATTTCCTAAATATGCAAATCGATTCCCAGTTTTAGACTTATAAGTATATTCCCAATCTTCCCACCTGGGGTCTTTTCTTATAAAATTAACATGCGATGCGCTTCCAGGCCAGTGACCATGGATTCTACCTCCGGGTCTGCCGGAGTTCCCCCAGGATTTGCAATTGTCTGTCCATACTGTCCTGGGAAAGAAAGTATCACTATAAGCGATAAAATCATTTGTTGCCTCTTTGGAAGGAACAAAAGTTTTGATACTCTGCTGGCTAACCTTTCGCAATAACTTTGCTAAGTAAGTTATTTGTGTTTCTGTTTGGTTAGGAACTGTGCCACTTGTTCCATGAGCATTAGGCCCGGAGACGAAGAGGAGGTTGGGAAAAGAAGGCGATGCGACTCCAAGGTATGTAAGAGGATCAGGATTCCAAGCATCGCGCAAATTGTGGCCAAAGGCAACAATGGGAAATGGGGGTCGCATATCAATGTTTGCTCCTGTGGAGCATATTACTGCATCGACTTTTCGTTCAATACCATCAGTCGTAACAATTCCTTCTTCTGTAAATTTTTCGATAGGAGTCCGAATGAAAGAGACGTTATCTTCAGTCAAAGCTTCTAGATAGCCAGGCCCTGGTGTCAGCCGACGACAATTTGGAGCGAAATCTGGAACAATCTCATCCAATAATTCTGGCTTCTTCTTCAAACGTTCTGCCATCAATCTCCGAAATTCTTCTTCAAGCTTTTTGTTGTCCTCTGTGCCTTTAAATAAAGTTGAAAACCGGAGATAGAATTTACCCTCGAGATTTTTTCGAAATTTGTGATAATTGTCTGGATCCTCGAATGATTTTAGGAGGTCGTGAGGAAAGTATTTTGGCTCCAATGTCCTACCTTCTCCTTCACCACCAAAAGATCCCGCAATCCAAGTCTTGCTACGTGCATAATGGTCTAAATGTTTAACCACTTTTTGAAGATTTGGAACGACTTGCAATCCACTAGCACCATTTCCAATGACTGCGACTGTTTTGCCAGTAGGATCAAAATTTGGGTCCCAGTTTGATGAGTGGCGTAGGTGCCCCTTATAATTGCTGATACCAGGATAATCTGGCAGCTTCCAATCGTTGAATCTACCAATTGCTGTAATCACTACGTCGAAATTTTCTTCAAACTTCTCTCCATTCTCAAGATTGTCAATACTCAATGTCCATTGTGCACTCTCCTCATTCCAAATTGCACCGACAATCTTGCGGCTGAATTTGAGGTAATCGTAGACATTGTGTTTCCGTGCGACTTTCTGCCAATATTCTCTGATTTCTTTTCCTTGCGCATACTCTTCGGACCATTGCGTATTGGGCTCGAATGTTGATTGATATACATTCGCGGGAATGTCGCAACGGACCCCGGGATAGATATTCTCAAACCAAGTCCCTCCAACATCGGCATTCTTCTCAAAGATCGTGAGTTGAATTCCTGGTACTTTCGCAGGCAGAAGGATACCTGCGTTTATCCCGGCAAGGCCAGCCCCAATAACCGCAACCTATGGAACCACTATTTAGTACGCTGAATGGAATCGGGAATTAAGATGATTACAAACATTTAGGGGTTTGATAATGTCTACTGGATGATCTTCGATTTCAAAACCAGGCTGAGGCGTAGGTCGAAATGGTAAAGAAGAAGTACTTTGAGGTAACGTATCGCTATTTGTTTTGACCTCGATGGTCACTGGAGCTGGCGCTTCGGTAGATGTTGAAAGTGGAATCTTGACAGCTGAAGTAACGCCGATACCTTGTGTTTCCTCAGCAACAGCGGAAGGTGACATGATTTTCAATGATCGGTTTGCAGTCAATCTTTGAATGTTTGGAGATTACAATTTTTCCTGAGCTTTTTTTTCAAACTTCTGAACAACAAGAATGTCAACTGGAAAGTAACACAAGAAAGGCTGAAAACCAAAAAGATTAGAACCATCAAACGAAATAAACAACTACTCCACTAAGAGAGAAGTGACACTCTTGATCACGATATTGTAGCATCTCATTGCAGCATCCACGGCATGTATCAAGATAAACGTTCAGACCCATATTTCTTCCGACTTTTTTGGGCTAAGATAACTCAATCCGAGGTCGTTATCAATGAGGCACCATCCATTCATTCTGCATGTTGTCCGCGAATACGGAGTAGACATGCAGCCCACGGGTTGTGAGGGGTAAGTGGGGGGTTGCACTTGCACTTGCAAAGCTCCGGCTATGTGACCACCTATCTCCGTGCACGACATATTAATTCCCCTGCGACACATCCCGGAAAAGATAAACATGAGAAGAAGATTGATAGGCTTGGGGGATATGGAAATGATTATGTGATTACAAGGGGAGTTGTCGACTTTGCTTTCAGTAGTAGAATATGCTTCGATGGCTGATAGTGGAAGTGTATAAAGGGAAAAACAAGCAGAATTAATATGTATTGGCTCGATTAGATGTTAATGAGAAGTGGATTCATTGGCGGGGCACGTGCGGGGTTAGTGCATTTGTGCTTTTGCAAGGAATAAGACGCCATCGACACTCAATCAAACGAAAGTGCTTATCATCATTTTGCATTTTAACCTTCAACGAATTATGGCACGATGGAACCTACATTTTCATCATTTCACCTATGGTACCGGCACCGGCAGCTATGTATAATCGATCAAGGTAATGAAATTACCCAAGGTATAGAGTACAGATGTAGGTTTGGATCTCCTTGACTGTTTCTGCGTTACCCTCTTTTCCCTTCATCACGTCTGCGACATAAAACTGTAAAGGTTAGAAGGATTGTCTCTATTCACATCAGTCTTCCTCACCCGACGAGATCATTTCATATCTGCAACATGTCTTCCACTAAGAAACAGCTCATTCTCAATGCCTTTGCTATGCAAGCACCCGGTCATCTCAATCCAGGTCTCTTCAAATATCCTGGCGATCAAGGTTCTGAATACAAAAATATCAAGTCATGGATTGCACTCGCCGAGAAGCTCGAAAAGGCCAAATTTCACGCCATATTTTTTGCAGATGTTCTAGGTGGTTACGATGTTTACAAAGGTCCTGCGAATCTTGAGCCAACAATACCTGCGGCGTCTCAATTTCCAATAAATGATCCATTATATAGCATTCCTGCAATGGTGAGTCCTTCTCGACCGCTTTCCTAGTAGTATTTCTCAAACAAAATCTAACATGGGAAAAGGCTGCAGCTACAAAAAGCATTGGATTTGGTGTGACTGCTTCGACAACCTACGAACAACCTTATCTACTTGCTCGCAGATTCTCGACAGTAGATCACCTTAGTGAGGGACGAGTTGCATGGAACATAGTCACATCATATCTCGACTCTGCAGCTCGAAATCTCGGTCTAGATACCCAAATTGAACACGATGAACGGTATAGGATTGCTCATGAATACCTTGATGTTACATATAAGCTCTGGGAAGCATCTTGGAGAGATGATGCTGTACAACCTCCTGGATCGAATTCATACGCAGATCCAAAAGGTGTCAGGCAGATCAACCACAAGGGGAAATATTTCAATGTACCAGGTCCACATTTGTGCGAACCTTCTCCTCAAAGAACTCCATTTCTGTTTCAAGCTGGAACTTCCTCCGCAGGAAAGAAATTTGCTGCGACTCATGCTGAAGCTATTTTCTTGAATGCGCATACCCCAGAGCTTATTCGTCCATCGGTAGACTCTATTCGTTCACAAGCTAAAGAACTGGGAAGAGATCCGGCCAGTATCAAGATTGTTGCTGGGCTTTTGGTTATTGTTGCCGAGACTGATGAAAAGGCCCAAGAGAAATTCGAAAAACTTGCAAGTTATGGTGACCGAGAAGGAGCTTTATCCCTGTTTGGAGGTTGGTCCGGATATGATCTAAGCTCATATGGTGATGATGAAGACTTCCGATTTATTGAAAGCGCTCCCCCTGCTGTGAGAAGTATGGTGAATCACTGGGCATCAGTATCGCCGCAGGGTTTAACATGGAACAAAAAGACAATTGCCGAGCATCTTATCCTAGGAGGAAATGGTGCGAAGCTTATCGGAAATGCAAAGACAGTTGCAGATGAATTAGAAAGGTGGGTAGAGGTCTCTGATGTCGATGGATTCAATTTCAGTTATGCTAGTATTCCGGAGACCTTCGACGATATGATTGAATATTTACTCCCCGAACTACGGAAGAGAGGACTATTTTGGGATGACTATGCTGTTCCAGGAGGCACCTTGAGAGAAAATTATTTGGGTGTTAAGGGCCAAAACAGACTGGCGGAATCGCATCCTGGAGCAAAATATTTCTGGAAAGCTGGAGAAGATGTACCAGCATATGCAAAGGAGGAAACTAAGAATGTATGAGATGAAGAATAAAATATCACTTCAACTTTAAGTCTTCGACGACGGTGGAAATACTTTCAATTTTTCCCTGACCATCTCCTTCCTCTTGTACAAAACGACACCCACATATGTTACCTTGCTGATTTCCGCACTTATGTCATCTACCTTGTATTTCTCCATGATGTAACTTTCCCTAACGCATGAAGAGGCTTGGAGGTACCAAAATAGCCCTATCAATCGTCCATTCATTCATTCATCCATCCATCCATTTCTTCATCATCTATACATTTCTGCTTCGTCTCATCATTGATTTTGCGCAAGATTTCACCACTCATCGCACCATAGCTATGCCAAGCGGCTAGAACTACGCTGACACATCTCCACTTTCGCCCATCTCCTCCACGAGAGGTCACTTTCGGCTATTTTGCTTGATCCGCCCCACCCTTTTGCGACGGAGTTTGTTCCAGGTAGTATTTTTTTTGATGTGCAGTCGACCCATCTGATCTTTGACTCCTGCGTTTGAGATTTTGGAAAATCGCCTCATGTATGGGAATTCGTCGTAATGCGGAATAGACACGAATGCACGTTTAGTTTTACATTTCTACAAGATGACAACGATTCTCACGCCGTGTACTTAAAGAAATCTATTTCTTACGGCTGGTGATTTCACTTAGTTACTTTCTCTTCTTTCTAAATTTCTGATGTCTTATCCTCAGCAGGTCTGATTCTTTAATTGGTCTTCTCAAACGTTCTTTATCTATTTTATTTACTATTTCTTGTATTGCCGTGCTGTGCATATTGTCATCTTCAATCTATGATCATATCTTCTACTCTCAACAAACAAAATGCCTTCCCTCAAACAATTTCTTCTCCTAACCCCCGCCCTTTTCTCTGCAATCCACGCCCAAGGCGTACTCCTCTCAGCTCAAGGAACCAAAGGCTCCCCTGCCTCTCTTCCCCTCCAAGTTCAACTCAACACCAATGACGTAAATATAATCAACGAGGCCGAGATTAACAGCAACGTCGTAAATGAATGTGGACGCACAATTCTCAATGGCAATATCGATATTGGCGAAAATACCGAAACACAATTGGCTAATAAAACCGTGACATCCGTCACGAAAGGAAGTGTCGTTAATGTGGTGATAAAGCAAGGAGGTACGAATGGAAAGGGTCCGTATAAGTGTGATATGGATCCGACAAGTAACGGGTTGGGATCGGGACAGACGAAATTGGCCGTTAAGGAGACAGATGTTAAAGGGGGAAATATTAATTTGGCTGTTACTATGCCGAGTAATATGAGTTGTATTGGTGGTATGTTTGGTCATTTGCTATTCTATCCCATTAGCTCCTCTCCATACTCACAGACCTAAACCTCCAAGTCAAAATCAAAAACTAACAGAGCCTAGCTTCTACTGGAAATATCTGCACAGTCCGTTGTTTTAACGCAGCAACCGCTGGACCATTCGGTGGTTGTTTTGCCGTGATGCAGACGGATGAGACTGCTAGCAAGAATACGCCTGGGACAATTGCCACAGCGCAGACTTTGAAGGGCGTTGAGGCACAGGTTTTACAGTACGTTTTTGACTTACTATTCTATCATCGCAGAGAAACTTTTATCTTGTTTTGCAATCATTCCTCATTCATTTAAATTGCTTTCTAAAACCTATTCTCCGTCCCCTATCCTCTTACCAATCCCCTTCCCCCAACTGCTAACGATAACTCTCCACACTCCTTGCTAACATTCATCATAGAAACAACAAAGATCTCCCCGCCGCCATGAAAGCAAACTCCGAAGCAACGCTTAACGAACAAGGAATTTTTGCCGTAGAAGCACTTCTCAGCTCTTCCCTAGCAGCTGTTCCTACTGTTGCCGCGAAGGCCGCGGCTACTCCTGCCGCTGCTGCTGCTGCTGCGGGAAAGAAGAATGGAAGTGGCAATGGAAGTGGGAAGAACGGGAAAGGGAATGGAAATGGGAGATTTGGAGGGGGTAATGGGAATGGGAGGTTTCCGAAGACGTTTTTTGCATAGGGGTTGCAGTATTTATGGGGTGGAGATGACGGGAGGTATGATATGGATAGTGGGATGGGATAGATACCCCTCTTTATTTTTATTTGTTCAATAAATTGTGTATATTACTTCGATTCGGAACTATGGTGATATATTCGTCATATTTCTTATATGATTAATAGGTGTTATGGTATAAACATGTACTTAAGTCTTATATTCTGATCAAAACACACATTGATGTCCAACTTCATTCTCAAACGAGAATATAATTATGTAGGAGATTATGTACAAAGCGGAAATCTTACAAACGCTGAACTGAAATTTTTCCTTGTACTCAGTTTCTTTCATGCTAAAAATTTGGAAGGATCTCATGTGATTTATAGATAAATAGTTAACTTAAGCCAAGCATGCACAATTAGATCATTATTGTAGTGCGTTTGCCAACACAACTTACCACTGCCCTAGAGTAACTAGAAGTATGATGAGCAAGAACCAGAAGGACAAGAACTCCTAAGCTCGCCCCATTCTTCCAACTCTTCAGACTCGGCTTTGAAGTCTACTAGTTCTTGGTGGTCACGGTATCGCTATCTCTTTCTACTTCAGATCATTCAGAGAGTTTTTCGTTGTGGCTAGTTTTAATGATTCAGGACTATAACGTCGTGGTTCTGAGTATTGTTCCCAACTTGTATTTCGATTTCTCTTTTCCTCACGAGAGCCAATAGTAGATGTCGTAGATACAATATACCCCACAAGTAGACATGTGGATTCTGTGTCATTTTTTCATCTAAATCTCTGTGATATAAAACTATCATGGAGCTATTGATAATCTTACATGATTCGGGGTTTGCTTTCGATGCTTAATTTCACTCTCTGCTAGACGAACAATTCCGAGCTCAGATCAATGTCTGTAGGCTGTGGTTGGTTTTAAATTCTGGAGACTCGAGAGAGATGTTCGGTGTTCAAGCATTTGGATCATAAAAACCCATTTATCTCTTCAACCTCTTCATGATTGTTGTTCGACTAGGTCAGGGAAATGTCAAAACTTCATTTTTTGCGTGACAAATGAGACAGAGTCGTGCTCTACTTATGCTCGAATAAGAAGTTGAGTGACCACACAGCGATTGCAGCCACATTTTTCCAGCCCGGGTAGGTAGGTGTGTATAACGATTGGAATTAGGTCATTTTCAGGTGTTGACTGTCATGTTTAAAATTATCACTGGGTTTTCTCCCCCAAAAAAAATCAAATTCCTCACAATCAACAAATAAACAACGAGTACTTGTCTTCGTAACTTCGTTGGGTGTATCATCAGTCAAAATGATGCATAATTTTGACAGAAAATGATACTCCTGCGCTCCTCCTTAGCCAAGTGGTTCCGGAGGTTGGTGTTGATGTTTTCATGCCGTACAATGTCGTCTCTGATTCTCAGCACCGATGTACTATATATTCCAAAGTGTATAAATCAATGAATACCATAGTTGATCTCTAGAAATTTGATTGAATTATACATCTCTATCTACTTATGGTTGATTTAAATATGAAAGATAAGTCAGATTGTGGGTTAGGAGGACTGAAGATAGGGATTCAGAGGACAGGTGTCGTAGACCTATACATCCTTCCAAGCAAATGGAGATTAATAATTGGTCTCTGTTTAAGTCTTTCAATATATGGGAAGTTAAAGGATTTCGAGATCCCAAAAGTGGTTAAAAATATGGAGGTGGAATTTATCAACTAATCATATATTATTACATGGTGATATCCGTGAGGAGAGACGCAATGATGGCTCCTTCCTCTTAGGAATGCTGAAAGATGAACGAACATCCCAATTATGTCAAACCTCGACATCGGAACGTACTCGTATACACTTCAACAGTAAGTATTTACTTTTAACTCAATCCAACACAGAATTGATTGATGCTTAGCTCACTCATTCCTTTATGCCCTTGATTTCTCTTCCCCTTTCTTCCTTCCACCATTCCTTTTCCCCATGATCTTAAGGTATCTACCTCGACGAATGGACTTGAGAGATTTCACAAAAGCTTAGAGCCAGATGAAAAGTCTGCGGGTTGTTCGGGAAATGGCTCTCCCTTCCCTACGATCACATTCAGGACTACTGCGGATGAGGTATCAGAAACGATTTATCCTAATCACAATTGGACTTTTAATATGCGTGTACCTCTTTTCTACAACCAGTCAATTTTCTTTAAAGGATCGATATGGATTTTTCTTATATCCTCCTACCGATTTACCTCCGTCTGCCACAGGTCGATATAAAATACAAGCAACAACATTTCCAAAAGAATCAAAATCTGCCGGAGCAGTGCGTCTAACAAGACAGAAGAAGGTCAAAGAGGAATTTCTACGTGCTTGGAATGGGTATAAGAATAATGCATGGATGCATGATGAAGTGATGCCACTTTCTGGTGGTCAAAAAGATACATTTGTGGGTTGGGCTGCAACATTAGTGGATTCTTTGGATACACTTTATATAATGGGATTGAAGAAGGAATTTGAAGATGCATTAGAATCACTTAGACGAATTGACTTTTCGAAACCAAATGCCGAACGTGTTCCTGTATTCGAAACAACTATTCGATATTTAGGGGGTTTGTTGGGTGCATGGGATGTTAGTGGTCATCAATATCCTATTTTACTTGAAAAGGCAAAGCAACTTGGGGATTTATTATACCAAGCTTTCAATACCGAGAGTGGCATTCCTACACCTTATTATTGGTGGGAGAAAGAACTCTCAGAAGGGGAAAAAATACTGGGTGAGAACGGTGTCCTACTTGCTCAAATTGCAAGTTTGTCAATCGAATTCATTCGTTTAAGTCAAGTTACAGGCGATCAAAAATACGAGAAGTCAATACAAAAAATTACGGATCAACTGGAGAACATTCAAAATACTACAGTATTACCAGGAATGTGGCCATCTCAAGTAAACTGCATGGGATCAAACCTAGCATCTGCGAGCCTTTCATTTACTTTGGGAGCTTTTGCCGGTAAATCTTTTGTATTGTTTCTCTTTCACGTCTTTGCTAACTGATACAAATAAAGATTCTGCTTATGAATATCTTCCAAAAACACATTTAATTCTTCCCAAATCGTCCTCCGCCGATCAATATCTGAGAATGTATCGTAATGTATTATCAACCATCAATAAACATCTCGTTTTCCGTCCCAACCTTCCTGGTGATCCGGATATACTATTCACAGGAACCGTCGACGTCGATTCCGGACAGCCAATTCTAGATGCTCAAATCCAACATCTCGCTTGTTTCACAGGAGGTATGATAGGTATAGGATCACGAATAAATCAATCACCATCAGAAATGGAAACCGCAATAAAACTAACCAACGGCTGTATCTGGGCTTACGAAAACACTCCCTCAGGAATCATGCCTGAAATATTCCATGTAGATCCTTGCACCAATATTTCCTCCTGTAAATTTCAAGGCTCAAATACAGATAATGGCTTTACACGCATTGAAGATCCATCCTACCAACTCCGCCCCGAAGCCATCGAATCTATCTTCATCATGTACAGACTGACAGGTGATCCTGTATGGCAAGAAAAAGGTTGGAAAATGTTCAACGCCATTGTTAAACATACACATACGGATATAGCAAATGCTCGAATCAAAAATGTCATGGATGAGAAACCGGAAAAAGAAGACTCGATGGAAAGTTTCTGGTTGGCGGAAACATTGAAGTATTTTTATTTGCTTTTTTGTGAACCGGGTGTGCTGAGTTTGGATGAGTGGGTGTTGAATACGGAGGCTCATCCTTTGAGGCAGGCTAGGGGTTGATTCGCTTAAGACTTGGGATTCGAATGTTAAGAATAGAATTAATGGTAAATATGGGATATAAAGAGAGTGTATGATTCCTGTATAAGTGATGTTAGAAATGCATCACAAAATAAATGTAACATATAATACTATTGTCTCATCTGATCTATTACTTGGGTAAGTATCCGTACAGTAGTCCTTTCCGTTAGATCTGCACCGATTTCATGATAATACTAGACTCGAGTGCTTAGCTCAATGCTCGATGGTGGTTGGAAATGCAGATTTAAGTTGAGAATATGGAATTCTGCGTTACATCAATATAATACATGATTTATTTCATTCATCATCAGACAACAGAAATCCGAAGGAATTGATGCGATAGTATTTACTTGCTGGGTACTGTACACTTGAACTCTCAATTCCAAATTCTTTAATATATCAAGTATCATAAAAGATTTATTTGGATATTGTTGGGTTTCTTGAGACTAGAAAGAGCATCAGATTGAATTGACTTATTCTCTAGCTAAGCAGTTAAGCTGCGAGCATATATTCAAAAAAATGAAGGAATAGGTTGGGTATTCGGCCTTCGGAATTAAAGTGCTTTGAAATCAAAATATTGAAAGCAAACAGGGATGCGATGATTCAACACCTGTACGTGGTGCATCCTACGAACCTGTAATTTTTCTTACAGAGCCAAGATTGAATCAGGCTGAAGCTGGGCAAAGGTCGTGCTTTAAAAAGGAGCGGTACTGGGAGTGAAGGTATCGTGAATTTGGCCCGGAACAGAGGACTATCAGTCGAACGGAGATGAAAACTACCCGACAATCAACGAAACAATGACGGATTTCGAAGCGGAACCACCTTTACGAATCTGCAGTGGGATGCAGAGCCTGAGAATTGCTTTAAGGAGCATTTCAAAGCGGACTGCCTTTACGAATCTGTGTGGGAGCAGAGCCTGAGAAGGAAAGCGTTGTGCCGGTGATTGACAGGGCACCTCTGGGGCGCTAGCGTGCAGAATTTTCACGACTCAACAATGCGTACAATCTGCGGGTATACCGGATTGGAAGTTTACAGGTGGTTAAGGGGAGTAATCGAGAATGTATAAAGGTTGTGGTAGAGTCTTATTGAGGCCAACGGAGGTATGGGTGGATTAGGGATGGAGGGACGCTTTTGGCACTTTGCTCTACGAATGTACAAGAGCGGTATCATGGCGGCAGAGGAACTCTCGAACGAGGGGGATGCTTTTAGCAAGATTCACTCTTCTGCGAAGCATTCGGCAGACATCACGGCAGCGGATGAGCTCTGGCAGAAGCTACCTTATGAGACACATATCCGATACGTTCTCAACCCTCTGCATTATCGATTACAAACTATACATTGGGGGAATGGACTTTGCAGGCTGTGCTTTGGTTAGTGAGCTGGAAACGTTGTATTTTTAGTTGCCTGGCTAGGAGTTAAGACACAGCAAAGCTTGCAAGATACGGTCGGCCTTGTTGTGCAGGAGAGATCCGGCAAGGTAACGCGAAACGGTGCACAAGCCGCGGGGCGTAGCGTATAATGGCAGCGACAGTGACACTGTCTATACGGCTCGAGAGGACGGATGCGCGTATCGGTCTACAATAGGGTACAAGGCAGCTGGCAATGGAGATACCGGGTAGGCTTAGGGAGCAAACAGGATAATAGGTGTAGAAAGGTTGTTTTTGCCTGGGGGCAACCTTCTCAAAGGATATTGAGACTGACATCTTGTATCTGGGAAAGCATGGTAAGAATTGGTTACTCTTACTTATATTTGTAGTCTCACTGGATATATTATAAAAGACTCATAGATTTGCAAATATAATATTATCACTGGGAGATCCTAACCTGGGGCGCCTCAGAAGGCATCACCTTTGATCCCGGCAAATCAGAACTCATCCACTTCTCAAAACGCAGGACTGAACAGAACCCAGATACTACCCCTACAATTACTATAGGAGATCTAACAATCAAAGAACTTGCCAATGGAAAGCCCTATATTAGATGGCTCGGAATCCTCTTCGATAAAAAGTTATCCTTCAAATGGCATACGAAAGAACTAGCTACAAAAGCTATTGTAATAGCCAGAGCTCTTAAATCCCTGGGTAACTCTATAAGAGGAGCCCCTCCCAGACTACTACGGCAAGCCGCTGAAGCATGTGTCCTCAAACGTGCATACTTTGGAGCAGAAACCTGGTGGACAGGTAGAACACAATTCGGAATAAACCACCCTACTAAGGTGGAGGGCCATATCAACCAGTTAAGTAAGGTTACCTTAGAGTGTGCCAGAGCAATCCTGCCAGTATGGAGGACAGCCAACATAGCAATACTGCACCGTGAATCAGGACTCCGCCCGCCTGAAATTGAACTGGACGACCTAGCTCGCGCTTCAACAGTTAGAACCAGAAGACTGGACCCCTACCACCCTCTCGCCTGGAGAGCTAAATGGATCCAAGAGGACCCCGGCTCTTTCAAGACCCGTTTCGCCTGCCGTATCCTATCTCTTCCGCCCTCGGAACAGATCGATCCCCTATCAGCCCCTAAATGGCTAGAATATGAATCAAGAGCAGAAATAATGAAGCGTATTCACAGCCCCAATGGCCGTACCAAACAGGAAGCAGCTACTGAATTCAACGATTTCTATGACCTACTCCCTCGCGAAGATATCGTTATCTTCTCTGACGGGTCTAAACTTGCAAACGGCAACACTGGTGGCGGTTTCGTAGGGTACCAAGACAACCACAAATTCTGCGAAGGGAGCCTTCCACTAGGAAGAATGAAGGAAGTATACGATTCTGAAGCGATCGCAGCTTTCGAAGGCCTCAAGGCCGCTATCTCCTCGATCGAATCGAGAATAGCAACAGATATATACATCTGTCTTGATAATATTGAGGTAGCAGCAAGACTCCTCTCCAAATCTACCGGATCCTCCCAGGACACCTTCTCGGCTTTCCGCCAACTAGCCTCAACCTGGCACAATGGCACAGTCCATATCCGATGGGTCCCTGGTCATAAAGATGTAGCAGGAAACGAAGCGGCTGACAAAGCGGCCAAGGCAGGGGCAGCCCTCCCTCAACCCACAGGGGCCTACTCATATGCAGGACTCAGAAGAGTGACCAAAGGACTCAGGCAAAAAGCAATGAATCAGCTGTGGTCAACAGTGATCCCAACAACCTACAGAGACCTCGAGATCTTTACCTCACCAAGGAACCCAAAAGAACTCTCTCTCCCTAGACCCTTCCTAGGTCGCCTAATAGCTATCCGCTCAGGCCATGGAGACTTCGCATCGTACCACGAACGTTTCCTACATCAAGACGCACAACTGCTTTGCAGATGTGGAGCCCGTAAATCCCCAGTACACTTCTTCTTCTGCAGTATCGCCAAAAGAAACCACCCCCGGCCTAAAGGGAAACCTGCCGATATTCTTCCGTTCCTCTGCGGTACCTACGAAGGTGCTGAGGTATTAGCAAACTGGACGAAAGCGAACGGATTCTATACCAACATATGTCCCCTCCACCTCCCTCCCCCCCCAATCTTAAAGGGCCCCATTCACTCGCTGTGAGACCCCAGGTCGCAGAGCTACCCTAACAGACAATCAAAATTGACCATAAAACCTGTATTTCCTTTGTAAGAAAAAAAAAAAAAAAAAAAAAAGCTTATATAATCAATTGTGGAGGCGCTAAGAAGGTCATGGGGTTTTAGGCGGACCGGCTGCAGCTCGGCAGAATTCATACTAAGTAATCCCTCCACCAATAGGAAGGATTAATTTCTCATCAAGATCACGGCAGCTATGGGAATGCGCTCAGGAATCACTACACTCTGTAGAAATAGTATGTATATAACTATTAGAAACCCAGGAGTAACTCCCTGGCGGCCTTTGCCCCAAGAGGGGATGTCATGAGAATGGGGGGGCTTCGCCCCCTCGGCCTCTGGCCGTTAAATAATAACACACACACACACACATTGAAAGCAAACAAACAGTATACCAAAAAGGAAAGAATGAATTAAAAGTTGAGTTTTGTTTGCTCCTTATATGCATATGTACTATATATGCATATGCTGCCAAGATCCCAGGAGGTCAACAGATATACAAGATCTAATATACTAACAAATCCGCATATACTCACCCATCCACCCATCTATCATTCACTACCAATCTATCGCACCAATTCATTTCAGACCACTTCATAGGTACTATACATTAACACCAGCATACCAACACCAAAACCAAATCATGCACTCTTAAGTGCTACATGAGACTATTTCCATCATGAGGATATTAGCTATTTATTCTGATATTGCATAGACTTGAGATGATGTGATATGATATCATCACTAGAGAAATCGAAAGAAGGAAAGAAACTAAACCTACCATTTCAAATCCACTAGACCCTTGGCACACATGCTTAACAGCATCTTGGAATTCTTGAGTTTGCTGAAAAGCCTGTTTTTTTTCATTAGCAATCTACCTTGTCTCTCATCTACCCAATCTCTCACCCCTCCACCCCCCTCTCTTTCGCCCTGACCTAGAAGCAAAATCGACATCGAAAGATGAAAAGGAGTAAAACAAACCGTGTGTGAAGCCACATTCTCCCACCCAACTATAAAAACCAATCCTCTTCCCTTTTCTTCCTCTTTGGCGTCACGATTTTTAGCAATCTTCTCAACCACCTCTCCATAGTCAATGAATCCAAGATATCCTGCGATTTTCTTTTGTGACTGGATCTTTTCGAGGGCGGTTAGGAAGTTTTTCATTCCCTGTTTTGGAGGTGAGAATTGTTAGTTGGCTGATTAGATGGTTTTTGGGGTATGGTGGGAGGAATGAGAACGATGGCGTGATGGATATGGGGATGGGAAGTTAGAATGATGGAGTGGGAGCGGGGAGTGGAAGTTGGGTTTTTGAGTCCGAGATGTCAATTCTACTCATCCCTCTCTGTGAATTCGAAATTTAAAAAAACACGTCAATCATTTACCTCGATGTAAACATCCTCCACACTAAAAATCGGATAGTCAGTAATGCAGATTCGTCGTGCAGTTAGTGGAAGAGGTTCTGGTAGTATACGAAAAATGAAATAGATGAGAAATCCAGCCAACGGCGAGTATGAATCTGGAAAATTGTTGAGAGGACTCACTCAAAAGATATAGCTACTTCCAAGACACCCTTCCCGACAACTTCTTTCACGTTCAGTTGTTCCACATGCATAATATCTGCACTTTCAATAATTGGGCCGATATTTTCGAGGAAAGAGGGATAGACAGGAGAATCCATGAAGGATTTGTGGTGAGCGAGTGAGATCCAGTCTTTTTACAATCAATTAGTATTTTGATATATATTTGATAGACAGATATATAAATATCGAAAACTGGGGGATGGATATGTAGAAATAGTCAAGGGAAGAATTAATAGGGAGACTGGCAAGAAAATAGTAAATGAGAAAAAAGCATAGTGAACAGAGCAACTTACTAATATACCAAAACAACACCTCGTTCTCCGTCTCCTCGATCACAGCCCCATAATAAGAATCCGTATATCCTTCTTGAGAAGCAACGGTATCCAAAGTCTCACGCCCTAGATTTCCAATAGATACTCATTAGACCAGGCGACTAGAACCGCCAAACCAAGCAAGCTGTCCATCATCACATGATCATACCCAGCCAATCTGCCTTGTAGTCCATCTCACCACAATCCACAGACTGGGAAAATTCACACTTACAAATATTTGCATACTGCCCATCTCCCTCCAAATCCGCAATTTTAATTCCTTTTTTCAAGGTCACCCTCGCGAATTCCGTAACTGGTCCATTTTCCAATTGATTTTTGAGTGGCATTTTGTTGTCTTTTTCTGTTCTTCCTTCTGTCTTTCTTTCTAGCTATAATACGGATGAGATATATTCCAAGATGTACTTGATTTGTACTCACTCTAGTATAGAATAATGAAAAGGATATTTGGGATGAGATGATATGAGATGAAGTGAGATGAGAAGAGAATAAGTTGATATAAGAATTTGGTATGGCGGGACGTTTATATATGTATTGATCCTCAACTCTTAAGAGAGAAGCTAGCTGAGGTGTTTACCCCACACGCACTTCACCTCATCTCTATCTGAGTTTCTTCATATGAGTCTAGTACCCTACTTGCAGCCCACCCCCTCCTTCCTTTTGGGCCACTTTCCCATACTAAAAATTGTAAAAAATTAATATTTTAGATCTTTTATTTATAAGTATTATAAATCAAAAGTAGAAATATAAACTTTATTTTTAATGTTTTTGTCACACCCAAGAATACTGGGTAAAGTATCTTGTATTAGAAAATACTAAATTAAAAAGAAAAGAAGAAGGAAAACAAGAGTAGCGAGTTTTCCTATGATTAAATACAAACGGGGCATGCCACGTGACCCGGAGGTGTGAGGCGTCACAGTTTTCTATTAAAAATCTTTTAAAACTATAATATTTTTTAAATTTATTAATAAATAAATCAAATTAATAATAAATTTCTTTTAAAAAAATTCGTATTTTTTTTAAAAAAAATAATTCAATATTCGAAAATAATTTAATATTCAAAAATAATTTAATATTCAAAAATAATTTAATATTCAAAAATAATTTAAAAAAAAAGCCCTTTAATTTACAAAATCAATTTTGAACAAAAACTTTTACAACTTTACTTTCTAAAATTTCAATATTCAATTAATAAATTAATCCTAAATTATAAAAATCACTATTACTTTTCCAATTAAATCACTAACAAATATCCTTTTTATTAAAAGATTGGGTGGAAGAGGCCTCTATATTGACTATATTACTACGTCTGTAGGCATATTAATCTCCTCTTGGTATCCTCGGAGGGGACCAATATGCCTGCTTATGGTTCGTCTAATCTAGCCTGTTTAGGTAACCGTATTACTAATCACGACACGTGATTAGTACCGGTAACTTCTATTCCTTTTAACACTTTTAAAAAAAAAACTCAGCTAATCTCAATCTTCCAAGAAATACCATCAATCAATCAATCAATCAATCAATCAATCAATCAATCAATCCATTTCAAACCTTATAATTTCCCAATCTTATAAATTTCAACTTAATTCTTCTTCACTCTAACACACGAATCATATCATTACTGTAGTTGTTAGTCAGTCAGGCCTCGGTACTCCGTAGATCACTAATCCACTAACCTTAATCCTTCACGGAGATCCATCGATATGTACGTACCTACGTATAACCTAATCCCCATCTCGCATTCAGTCTGCGGAGTATGATCCACAGCAAAAACTCTTTATAAGGATATGAAAAAAAGCTTCAAAAATAAGGATATTTGGAGGTATCCTTGTAATCAGATCTTATCGCCTTGATTTTGTCTCCAATAAATTATTTCTACAAGCGAAGGTAATGAAACAAAAATTAATTTGTGTAACAAAACATAGAGAAAAACTTCAGAATTCCTAATAATTTTAAATTATATAATTTTAAAATAAAGTTATTCCATTAGTATATTAAGAATATATAAAGGTTTTGAGATTTTATATTTTTGAAGATATTTTTAAAAAGAAATTTTAAGGATAATTGTCTTTTTTATATTTAAAAAAATTTGGAATCCAAAAAACTATCCTTATAAACAGGATATCCTTATAAAGAGGATCCTTATAAAGAGTTTTTGCTATAGTCCCTTTCTCGCATTCAAAATAATCATCTACGCAATAATTATTCCCTATCTCGCATTAAAATGCCAAGTACCAAATACCAAATCCCTAATCCCGGAATTCCGTAACACAAAACAAACTACCAGTGGGTGTGGTGAACCATAGAACTCAATGTATATATATCATTATGAAGCAGTTCTTTACGTTTCATTTCGCATCTACTTATTTTTCCTATCTTGCTCTTGCTCGCCTTATCATGCTTCACTTCAGTCTTTCCCATCAATTCATGCAATAATCAATCCCCTGTACAAATCGAGCAGAAACCTTACTTCATCCCATCAGCCAGCTTGCTCCCATCACATCACATCAATAAGACCCTCCAATTTTCACATCATCAACTTTTTTTACTATCAATCCGAGTCGAAAGATAACTTCACTCCATAGGGGAAAATGTACGCCATAAAATCAAGCCATCCACCAACCGACCGGTCGGTAACATCCATAAGAAATTTGATTCTGATTGTTAACACATATTACTAAAGAGAGACCTTTTCCTTGTCCTTATCTACCAATTTTCATATATCAATTTAGCTTGATGCTCTGTGACGTTCATTCTCTAGCCTTGAGTAAAGCATGTATCTATTAATTCATTAGCATGTGTGAACAATGAGATTAAAGGATAAAAGAAACTTACAATGCCATTTGATTGCATTCTGCGGTTCCTGTAATTGTAACCAATCTTTCATTTGAATTATCTTGAGGTTCATTGATCTTAATGACACTACCACTGAGCTGTCTGATTTCATTGATCTTAGCACCACCTTTACCAATTATAGCTCCAACCATGTCATTTGGAATGAAAATTTGTTGGGTTAAAGGTTGACCAGGAATAGCTCCTGCCATGGGCTGACCTTGTGGACCCGTAGCATGTGGTTGAGGAACAGCGTGGCCAGCTTGTTGTGGTTGCTGTGGACCCACTCCACCATAACCAACTGCTGGAGAAGCATGCCCACCATAATGTGCAGCAGCCGCTGGTTGTTGATGAGGTGCTTGTCCTTGACCGTATGGTTGGGCATAGCTATTTCCAGGAGTATGATGAGAACCACGATCAGAACGACGATGGTTGTCAGGGTGACCGTAATTTCCACCAGCTGGTTGTGGAACATATGGAACAACCTGCATGCCACCTGGGACCACACCTGCAGGTCCACCACTTCTTGATGCATAAGCAGATGCGGCTGGACCACCAAATCTCTCGGTCAATTGTTCGAACAATGTGCTACCCACGTAATAGGTCGCGATATGAACAGCATCTGCGACACCAAGAACGACAAGTGATCTCTCCGTCGAAAGTGGAAGGTACGAATCAGAAGCATTCAAACGAGCTCCTGAAGCTTCTTGGATTTCTCTGATACGAACACCACCTTTACCAATTATAGAACCAATCAAGATATGTGGAATGAGAAGTCGGAGAGGGTACGTCTTGGAGTTAGAGTCGGAAGGAGCTTCGAGGGGTTCATTGTTCAATGTTCGGATAATCAAACCGAATGCCTACAAATAATTAGTCATATGTTTTCAATGATCCAGACGATAAACACACCTTTGCTACTGCATCAACAACACCGCTGACAGTCAAAATTCTTTCCACTGCACCCTTTTGATAATCACTGACGGTACATTTTGCACCAGACAGTTTTCGAACCAGTGAAACGTTTTCCCCTCCTTTGCCAATAACGGTGGCAGCTTCAGCACTTGTAATGACTGATCGAACATGTATCCATCCGCTTTCATCATGTGGTAGAGCATTTCCAGATGAAGATCCTTCGGGTTTGGCAGCAGAGGCAGTAGTCTGGATAGGTTGGGCTGCTTCGGTAGTAGGAGCATCAACGACCACCGTATCCCCTTGAGCATCCTTTACTTCTGGTTTTGTTCCATTGACTTCATCAGGTTTCGCATTCCCGTTTGAATTGGTGTGGACAGGAAGTTCGGTTTCGACGGCGGGAGTCTTCTTTTCTGAATCATCATCATCCTTCACAACCTTATCTAGAGCAGGTCTTTTGGCATCTGGTTGATCGTTTGGTGCAGATGGTGAGGATGGATCCTCAAGAGGACGCTTTGCAGATTGTGTAGGAGCTGTTGTAGGTGAGGCCGACATTTTTCGTTTGCTATTTGGTTAATCTCTTTCTTTCTTTCTTTCTTTCTTTCTTTCTTGTATGTTTGTTTCACTTTAAGTTGAATGGAGGTCGGAACGGGACTGGAGGGTAAAGTCAAATGACTATTTGGATTGATCGCTTTATGTACACCAGAGGAGTCTTCGAAGGAAAACGTGCTGGTGCTGGGGTCGGAGGAAGCAGGGAATGAATCGTGTGCTTTTGACGGGGACTGCGAATAAGAGAAGATGTGTCGATAGGGGAGGAAGCAGATGTGGTGTAGAATAACAACAACTTGTAATCAACCTGCAAACTCTGGAAAGGGATATGTTCAAGTTGTGAAGGAAGGCGAACAGTATCTGTGATGGGATGGATGGTAGGATTGTGTTGTGGATGTGGGAGGTGAAAATAACTGATTTTGAAGAATCCTCTCTTTTTTGGGGAAGAAAAAAAGCAGTATTAAAGACCTATCCTCAAACCTTGAGCTTTTCCACCAACGAATCAATTTATCGTTTTCTGAATGTGTTTTTCTTATATTTTTTCTGATCCTGAATTTGCGCTTCCTAGTTTTTGATTCGATGGTTGTTTATTTCTGCAGCTTCTCGATCGAAAGTTGCAGAGATGGTGGTAAAGGACGACAAAGAGTCGATGATGGGGTAAAGTTCGAAGAGGTCGATAAAATGGCCGAGATCCTGATAGCTTCCTAGGTAGGTAGGTATGGGTGGGCTCGATAGTCGACAAACTCAATTGAGGAAGTCGAGGGATGTGAGGAAGGGGAAAGAGACGAAGTAGAAGAAATAGAAGATTTTAAATTGATGTACTGTGAATCACTTTGCTGATGAAAAGTGTATTTTCAAGGAAAGCAGTCAGAGTAAAGGAAGTAGGAAAGAACCTTACACGGTAATGGAGAACAAGTCGGTAGATCTCAGATGGGTAAGCTCCACTAGTGTAGAAAAGCTACCTAGTTTGGATGTTGAGCTTGTAATGTAGGATCTTGTTGATGCCTCAGGTTTACTTTACTTTTACTGTCCTTTTACTGTTACTCTTAAACATTTATTAAAGATATATTAATATACTAATAACTTCTTAAAATACTTCATCACCAATAATAAACACATCTTTGACTCAATTCATAACACAACCCTCTTGCGGCCGGCTCCTTTTCTCCAAAATAGATTTTGTCGCTGCACTGCACTGTACTGACTACACTGCACACACTGCTTGTTTATCCGTGCGCATATAAATTTGAAGCATAGCACTCACTGCACGTGTTTTTTAAGTCAAAACGAAGCACCCTACAACTCATCAACCTCTTGTCATTGTATCGAAATCTATGTTGGCATGGACTCGATAAGTTTATTGGAAGAAAGACTTGATATTAACCTATCTCGATAATTCTACATAAACTGAACCTCTAACTCTTACTCACTTCAACCATGGATATCGATCAAGATTCTCGAATTTCCGCCGCATATACAACCCGTCTAGATCAAACCCTAAAAGATCTTCAAGATCGAGTCAAAGAGCAAGAAGAGGCACTTGAGAAGGTCGGTTGCAACACCCCTTCCCTTACCATTTCAATCCCAAGCTAACATCAATCAAGCTCCGTGCAACCACATCAACCCCGGTATCTGATGGACCATCACAAGATCCTAAAATCCATCTTCACCAACTCCGCACTCTAAAACAAGCCTATGATTCTCTCTCCATCGAATCTCCATACCTTCCACCGCCAAAATCCGTACTCCCTGCACTCCTCGCCT